ATGGTGCGGATAGGCAGCAGCTTCGACCACGCGGACGGCAAGGCTGTGGGCGAGCTCGGGATCGCCTCGTGCTAACATCCCATGGCGGCCGTGGAAGAGACAGACGACTCCACCATCTGCCACATCCTCAATCTGTCCCAGGGGAACCCATGGCTGTACCAGGCACTGCGGAAAGCCCGTGGGTACAGAGCGTCGAGCTGATCCGGGAGGTTGCCTCAGGGGCAGCCTGCTTCCGTGGGGAGATGCTGGGCCTCATGTGCTCTGTCGCACGGGGCAGATGGTTTGGATTCAGCATCATATTTTATTTGTTTCCAGTTGTTCCAGCACTATTTATTGAAATGATATTCCTTTCCCCATTGAATAGCTCTAGTGTCTTTTTTTTTAAACATTTTTATTGGGGTATAATTGCTTTACAATTGTGTGTTAGTTTCTGTTTTATAACAAAGTGAATCAGTTATACATATACATATGTTCCCATATCTCTTCCCTCTTGCGTCTCCCTCTCTCCCTCAGCATCATATTTTATGACCCCTACTTGCAGGATGGGATCGAGCCGTCCCTGGGTGTGCAGAGGATCTACACCCTACAGGACTTACTGTATCAGAGAGACTGCATCTCCTTGCACTGTAGTCTCAACGGATATAACCGCCACCTCATCATTGATTTCACTATAAACCAGATGAGACAAGGGGCATTCCTAGTGAATGCCACCCGCGGAGGACTGGTGGACGAGAAAGTCTTAGCCTAAGTCCTCAAGGAAAGCAGGATACGCGGGGGTGGCCCTCCAGGTGCACCAATCGGAGCCTTTCGGCTTTGCTCAGGGTCCCTTGAAAGATGCACCACATCTCATTTGTACACCTCACACGGCCTGGTATAGTGAGCAGAGACCAGCTAGGCAATCACATGTGGCATGCCAGAAAGCTTAAGAAACTGTGTGAACTAGGAATTCTTGGTCATAACAGCACCCTGGTCCGTAATAGATGAGCGAGCAATTCATCCAGAGTTCGATGGTGCCACCTACAGACGCCCGCCAGGCATCATGGGCGTGGCTCCGGGAGGACTTCCTGCAGCCTTGGAAGGGATCACGCCCCGGGGCATCCTGGGGACCCACAACCTCCCCACGGTGGCACACCCTTCCCAAGCTCCCTCTCCCAACCAGCCCACGAAAACATGGGGACAGCCCAGAACACCCCCAACAAGCAATGGCAGAGAGTGACGGAAGGTAATCATTTGGATACAACTGGCACCGAGAGAAAAACAGATGAACCAAGAGAAAAGGAACTTGACGGTCTTTTAAACTGATTCTGGACATTTGCATCATGGATGGTGTTAAAACCACAAGAGAGCTAGCGACAGGGGCAAACTGAAGATGTCATCTGCTTACAGAAGCACGGAAAAAGACTGGACGTGATTTAGTAACGACCAACTTCTGTTATCGTGAGTTAAGTTTTTCATCTGTGCATCCAATCACAAAGAGTAAATAGATCTTGGGACTTCCCTGGTGGTCCAGTGTTTAAGATTCCACACTCCCAATGCAGGGGGCCCAGGTTCGATCCCTGGGCAGGGAACTCGATCCCACATGCCGAAACTGAGACCTGGCACAGCCAAATAAATTTTTAAAAAATACTTGAAAAAATGACATTGCCAATTTCTTTAAAAAAATAAAAAAGAATAAATAGATCTTTTTCCTTTATCCGTCTCTTGGGCACAGCAGGTCCTGAACCCCTTGCTCTAGAATGTTGCATCAAGAGTCCCAAACATCTTAACATTGTAAATCAACTATACTTCAATTGAAAACAAACAAAAAATTAAAAAAAAATTAAAAATCCAAAAACCGGGCTTCCGTGGTGGCTCAGTGGTTAAGAATCTTGCTACCAATGCAGGGGACATGGGTTCCCCTGTCCCCCGCCCCCCCGCCCCCGGGAAGATCCCACATGCCGCGGAGCAACTAAGCCCGTGCGCCACTACTGAGCCTGCTCTCTAGAGCCCGCGAACCGCAACTACTGAGGTCCCTTCGCCTAGAGCCTGTGCTCCTCAACAAAGAGAAGCCGCCGCATTGAGCAGCCCACGCACCGCAACAAAGAGTAGCCCCCTCTCGCGGCAACTAGAGAAAGTCTACGCTCAGCAACAAAGACCCAACGTAGCCAAAAAAAAAAAAAAAAAAAGTTTAAAAATAAAAACAAAACCAAAACCCAAAACCCAACAACAAAAAAGAGTTCCAAACATCAAAATAAAAAATAGTAAGAGGAAATCACCATCCTGACTCTAGTTCCTTCAGTCCACGGGGGCTGGCTACCTTTTTTGCTAATAGGAAGGTTAAATTACTACAAAATGGGGAGAAAACTGTTTGTGTTAGACAACCACGAGCATAGGATCAAAGGCAGTACAGGCTTCTGTACCGAGAAGCCTCACCCATCTGAACTGCATACAGAGCGGGCAAGTTGGTTGTGAGTTCAGTAATGCCTTCTGATGACGCAAAAAAAAAAAAAAAAGTATTAAGTTTCACAAGCTGTTTATAATCAAAAATATTTTCTCAGTTTCATATCCTCAGCTATTTTATTGAGTGGCAAGTCTTGAACTGAAAGTGTTCAAGAAGAAGAATGTTGCATTATGTCTCAGGAAACATTTTATGGTAACCTGTCAGATTGTCTATGAACAAACGCACTTTTTTAGACATTGATAAAGTCTTCTTTTCTTCATGAGATATTTTATATAAGAATACTTCAGGTGTGTTATTAGATGTGACTGATTTTAACAAATTCTATTAGATTTATATCATCTAGTTACATGTTGTATTCATAGCCTTTTGTGAATCATCGCCTTTTTGGTTAAAAGATGGCCTATTTTGAGCCTTTGGATAGGGACATTTCGGTTTTCCTTTTCAAGTTTTTTAAAAAATAAATTTATTTATTTAACTTATTTTTGTATGTGCTGGGTCTTTCTTGCTGCGCGTGGGCTTTCTCTAAGTTGCGGCAAGCGGGGTCTACTCTGTTGCAGTGCGCGGGCTTCTCATTGCGGTGGCTTCTCTTGTTGCGGAACACGGGCTCTAGGCGCGTGGGCTTCAGTAGTTGTGGCTTGCGGGCTCTAGAGCGCAGTCTCAGTAGTTGTGGCGCACGGGCTTAGTTGCTCCGCGCGGCATGTGGGATCTTCCGGACTGGGGCTCGAAACCATGTCCCCTGCTGTGGCAGGTGGATTCTTAACCACTGCGCCACCAGGGAAGTCCTGACATTCCTGTTTTGTGACCAAAAAACCTTCAAAACTGTCCCAAACAGAAAAATAATGGCTATCAGAAATATGTTTTATTTTAGTGTGTTACCATTACTGTATTTGTTTATTGTAAAGGTGGACATTTAGTGTTCAGTGCAGTTTTCAATAAAAAGTAAATATATTTCAAAAAAAAAAAAAAAAACCTTCTGAGAAACATTTAGCCTGGTATTTGACCAAACAACTGGTCACCATAGCCTAACAAAATTGACACATAAACTGAACCATCCTTCAATCTAAGTGACTTTGCTGGTTGGCCCCGTTGCAGGCAGGCTTCCCTGGTCACCCTGATCTCCTTCCCTTTTTGGATACCCTCACTGTCTGAAATCAACTCCATGCTGTCTTTAGAATGTAAGGTCCTGTCTGTGCTGTTCACAGCCCAGAAACATAGATGCTAAAAAAAAAGTAAAAAACAAAACAAAAACATCCCACACATTAAAGAAACAGAGCAAGAAACAAAAAATTGCACATAAAGGAGGGCAGGGGGGCCTGGCAGATGTCAGCTGTGACACCTAGTGAGTAATGAGGATCTCTGTGTCTCCCCTTGATGGGGGTGTCCGGCAACTGGAGGCTGGAGGGAGTGGGGGTAGGCTGTGAGTCAATTTCCCCAACATGCCTGAAGTTGGGAGGTGGGGTTTCCAGGACCCAGGGTCTTAGGGGAAGGGGGCTATGCAGGCGTGACTTCCAGGTTCAGGGGGGTTTTCCTGTGATGACCTTACCGAGTCGGAGCCTGGATTCCACCCTCAACGGTCCTCAAGGGACCACAGGTGGAGTTAGAAGAGGCACTTGGGGCCCCTTGGCAGCCAGTGGCCTCACTCAGCTGCGGCTGCTGCCCCACCGTGTGTTTCTGGTGAGGCTGTGACCACAACAGCCTCTGCACTCCTTCTTCAACCGCTGAGATACGAGTCACATCTCTGGCTTGGTCCCTCAGGGCTCCAGCTGGAAACATCACCCTGCCTGACCTTTACCACTCCCTCCAGGCCCAGCCGCCTCACACAATCTTACCAGCCTGTTCGGGCCCACCTACAAAGTGTTGACCTGGAGGGTGGGGCGAGTCTAGACGGTGCAAGTGGGATGCGTGAGACGGGAAATGGAGTGAAAGTGAGCCGCGGATGAGAGCAAATGGGATGAAGATGAGGACAGGTGAGGATGGCAGGTAAGGACGCAGGTGAGCATGAAGGTGAGAAGGCAGAGGAGGACTGGAGAGTTCTGATGCTGGTGAACACATAGGTAAAGACGCAGGGGAAGGTGCAAGTGAGAAGGCAGTATAGGTAAGCATGTTTGTAAAGATACAGGTAAGTTTACAGGTAAAGATGGAGGTGGGGGAAGCAGGTGAAGACGCAGAAAATACAGGCAAGTGTGCAGGTTGAGCGTGCAGGTGAGAGAGCAGGTAAAGATTCAGATGAGATCCTGGTAAGAGTTCAGGCGAGAATGCAATAAAGAGGCAGGTAAGGAAGGTGCTGAGAACTCAGGTGAAGGGGCAGTGAGCTGCTGGTGAGGACGCAAATGAAAATTCAGGTACGGATGGAGCTGAGGTGCAGCTGAGATTCAGGGGAAGATGCAGGTGCACTTCCGGCTGGGTGCAGGTGAGGCAGGCACATGCGCCGTAGGTGAGGAAGCCTGCGAACTTGCAGGTGAACTACAGGAAGTTCCTGTAGGATGGAGCTGAGCTGCAAGTGAGGCAGCGGGGGATCACAGCTGCCTCTCCCCCTCTCAAAGAGCTCCAGACTTTGGGAGACTTGTGAAATAGAACTGGAGCTTTATTGGGTGGACAATCGTGGTGGGATCAGTTGGGGCAGCCAAAGACCACCATGTTTTCGGTGAAGTTGGCCAGGTCCTGGCACAGTTTCTGGTTCTCCTCGTCTTGGCATTCATCCGCTTCAGGCCACAGCTCCACCCAGGTGTCCTTCCCGATGATGTAGCTGATGCTGGGGGAAGAGAGACAGGTCAGGAGGGGGAGGGGAAGGGCGGGGGGAGGTGGGCACGCACAGGCGCAGGGCGGGCACTCACTTGGGTTTCTCTCCCCACAGGTCAGAGGAGACGCCCCACACGAGGTAGTGGGCCCCCTCCTTCAGTTTGAGGGCTTCTCTGCACTTGATGTGACTGATGAACCTACGCTCCTGTTGAACTTGCACCTCATCGGAACCTGGAGGGGAGGGAGAGGGAAGCTGAGCTGGGGGGAGGGACGGACACGGGGGAGGGGGAGGCAGAAAGACAGCAGACGCAGGGCTAACCTGATTTGATGATCTGCTCGATGACCATGATGTAATCGTCAAAGTCATCCGACAGCTCCTTCCTGAGAAGTCTGGTCTTGTACACTGTGGGCGGGGGAAAGAAGACAGCGTGGGTCCTGGGCAGGGTTGTCTGTGGGGCGCCGTCACCCAGCTCCTCCCAATCCGATACGGGCAGGACCACAGCCAGGCAGGCTCAAGCCCCCTGCCCGCCCCCCACCGCAGTTAACATACCCAGCCACACTCACAGCCATGCACACAATCACAGCCGTCCACAACGACAGTCACAGGCACAACGACAGCTGCTCCTGTCCACGGACAAACACCTCTCTCACACACGCCCACATACCATCCCCCTCATGACCACGGTTCCCCGTGCAATCAGAACCCCTCACAACACATCACACACACAACCACAGCTACACATAGCAATGACCACACGCGCCGTCACACCTCCGCTCACACACAACCACGCATGCGCGCGCCGCCCCCGCCAGACTCACCATAGTCCACGCCCGGCTCGCAGGCCCTGTCCAGCCGGTCCTCCAGGGTGACCTCGTCCTCCGTGTGGTGCATGAAGCAGTTCTCTGTGGGGTGGGTGGATGGGTGGGTGGGCGGGGGACAAGGTCTAAGTCCCGCTTCTCGTTCAGGGCCTACCACCCACGAGTATGCCCAGCCCTCCTGGGTCACCGCCCCCACCCCGTGGAATCAGGGGTCCAGTGGGCGTGGCCACCCCTCCTGGCGCCTGCGCACCCACCCTCAGCACAGCGGCATGTATCTTTGTGGCAGAGTTTGTCCAGCATCCCGTCCTCCTTCTCCGGGTGGTAGAACCGGGTGCAAACTTCATCTGTGGGCAGACGAGATGGCGAGGGCTAGGGCCTCCACCCCAGAGACCACAGCAGGGGGGGCTCAGTTTCCCAACTCCAGTCCATCAGACCTGCTGAGGCCAGGTCCCCAACCCTGGGACCCTCAGACCCCTAACTCCCATATCCCCAGGACTACCAGACTCCTAGCTCCTGGATTCCCGGGACCCGCCAGACTCCTAGCTCCTAGATCCTTGGGACCCCCAGACTCCTAGCTCCTGGATTCCCAGGACCCTCCCAGACTCTTAACTCCTAGATCCCTGGGAACCGCAGACTCCTAACCCCTGGATTCCCGGGACCCCCAGACTCTTAACTCCTGCATTCCTGGGACCCCTAGACTCCTAATTCCCAGATCCCTGGGACCCCAGGCCCTAGGAGAGCTGCTCACCCAGGTTGTAATAAGAGTACACCTTGACTGCCCCAGGCTGTATGAGCCCCATGTTAAAGTACTGGTGAACTTTGAAGGATAGACAGTCCTCCAGGCTGTGTGAGACCTGGAAAGAAGGAGGAGGTTGGTCAAGGGGGTGACATGGGAGGAAGTCCAGCATGGGGCCTGGAGGTTGGAGCAGTGGTGGAGAAACTGAGGGATCAAGGAAGGATATGGGTGGGCAAGATGGGGGGGGAGTAGGAATCTTTGCCAAAAAATTAATGAGCAGTTCATCAAATCCATTTTTTTTTCTCCACGGCTCATGGCTAGTTTACACTTCTCAGCATGTTTTCAGTTCCATGCGGCCATGTGATTGAGTTCTGGCCAAGGACTGCTATCTATATCCTTAAAAACATTCCATGGTTAACAAGGCTGCAATAGACATTTGAAAGTTGCTAAAAGATTAGATCTTAAAAGTTCTTAACATACACACACACACACACACACACACACACACACACACTTTATAACTATGTGAGGGGATGGATGTAACTAACCTTATTGTGGTAATTATTTCCCAATATATACACATATCAAATCATTACACTGTACATCTTAAACCTACGCAATGTTATATGTCAATTAAATCTCAATAAAGTTGCAATAAATAAAGAGAAAGGAAGAAAGAAAAAAGAAAGGGAAGAAGGGAGAGATGAAGGAAGGAAACAGATATACATATATATGTACATATACATAGGCATCATGTATATTTGGAGGAAAATGCTAACAATTAGTGAATTTGGGTAAAGGTTATATGGAACTTCTTCACTGTGCTCTGAAATTTGTCTGTAAGGTTGAAATTATATAAAAAAATTTAAGATACAAAAATTAAAATACAAAAAAGAAAACCATTAAAAAACCCATCTCAAAAAAAAAAAAAGAAAAGAAAAAACCCATCTCATGCACAACCCCGTTTTCTTCTAGAAAGGATGGATCCAGCAGAGGAGTCCAGAATCCTAGGGATTACAGAACCGCAAGATGGAAGGTACGTGGATCCCTGCGTGACCACATGGAGCAGAAGCCCCCTTCCTTACCTCCTGTACCAGCTGGACTTTACACGAGTGGGACATACAAGTCTCTTGTGTTGAGACCCCCATATTCTTAGGGGTTTTATTATAGTAGCTAGTGTTGCTTATGCTGACTAACATGGGGTGAGGGTACAGGGAGTTAGCAGGGAAGATATGCGGATACGAGAAGGGGAAGAAATAAGCAGGAAAGAGAAGGAATTATGTTCAAGATAAAGACAGCAAGAGAAGGCTAGATGGAGAGAAAATAAGAGAAGAGAGAAATGCTAGGGGGTGGGAGCAAGGGAAGTCCTTTTTCTCCACCGAGCACTTTTTTTTTTAAACCAAGGTGGTTTTTTTCAATGGTTGTTCAAGACTCTGATGAGAAGAGGCTGGAGGGAGCAAGTGAAAAATGAGGTCGGAACATGAGTGGTCAGAAGGTGAGTTGCAGGCTTCCCTAGTGGCGCAGTGGTATTGGCAGAGGACACAGGTTTGATCCCTGGTCTGGGAAGATCTCACATGCCGCCGAGCAACTAAGCCCGTGTGCCACAACTGCTGAGCCTGTGCTCTAGAGCCCACGAGCCACAACTACTGAGCCCGTGCACCACAACCACTGAAGCCCGTGCGCCTAGAGCCCGTGCTCCGCAACGAGAGAAGCCACCACCATGAGAAGCCTGCGCACCAAAACGAAGAGTAGCCCCTGCTCACCGCAACTAGAGAAAGCCCGCGTGCAGCAATGAAGACCCAACGCAGTCAAAAATAAATAAATAAGATAAATAAATTAAAAAAAAAAAAAAAGGTGAGATGCTTCTAGAAGGTGGGTTGACCTTGTTTTACATGCCCTTTCCTCCCACACCAGCATCCCAGACCCTGTCTCCCCTAGGCTGGGGCTGGCCTGACCTGGAGACAAGGCCAATGGAGAAGCAAAGGCCAGCCAGGTAGGGGTCAAGATCCCAATGGAAGCCTTACCTTGTCCAGGTAGATGATGAGGGTGTTCTTTGTGGAGTCTTTGTTCAGCTCATACTTAGAGATGTATCTGTCGACACCAGTGCTCAGCTGGGGAAGGGTGAGGCTTGTGAAAATCCCTCCTGCATCCCCTTCCCTCCCTCCAGCTCCTTCCAGACCCTGGGCTCCTTCCCATGGATCCCAGCCCCCGAGCCCAAGACCTTCATACCAGTTTGAGGTCATCAATATCAGGAGAGAAGCCCGTCATCATGGATACATCCAGGATTGACATAGTGGCATCCTGGTCTCCCAGGTACCTGGATGGGGCAGGGGGAGAGGGGTTGGGCCCTAAGGTGGGGGTCACTGCCTGAACAGGGGGGTCATATCAGGGACTGAGGCCTCTAGTTCCCACAGAACAGCACAGAGTGAGGCTCGATTTTAGGAAACATTTCCCCCAAGGGGAATACAGGAAATGGAGCGTAATGATCAAGGTGATTAATTGCTCAGGTTCTGAAGCCCAACTGCCTGGGTACAAATCCCAGCTCTTTGTAACATTTGATGAGTTACTTAACCTCTCCCTGCCTTAGTTCTAGAGAATGAAGATATAAGAATATGGGCATGTCTCACTTTGCATGATCCCGTTACCATGGTCTAGTTCAATGGCACCAGTCCCTCAGCACCATGGTTCGGATTTCAGTACCACGGTATATTCATCGTGAGTAATGACATAAAGTACAAATCTTGTTGCTAGCTCTTCACTCCACCAATCACTTCATAAATAACAGATGCACCTCACAACTAGTGACCAATCACATCCCTTCTTTCAGAGTCTGTTGGGTCACTGAGCATCCATTATTCAGTTCACACACAGACAGCAAGGAGTGAGTCGTGTCACTCCTTTCTCTCACAGTGGAAAAAACCTGTGTGACATTTTACAGAAATGGATCATTGAAAGAGGGAATTGGCCAACAAAGATGAAAGCACATCCATGAAATGAAGAGTGATAACACTGGAAGTAAACTTTGAGTAAAACATAAATGGAGTTAGAGAAAAAATAGCAGACCACGGGGAGGTTGACTCTGCTGCCGTTTGCAAGACTAGCTACGTGGCCAGAGGAACTTAGTGAGGCAAACTGATCAACATAAATGAGGAAAGTGGTTGTGACAAAAAGGATGTGGAGGTCCCAGAGGAAGGGACGCCAGCAAAAACCATCACATTAAAGGGTCTCTTGGATATCTGATGACATTGAAAGCTCAAAGAATGAAATATTGGAAGTTGACCCAAACTTAGAAGAGAACGTGACAATTCACTATGGCACGAAAAGATGCTTGCTTTATCTCATAAGTTAGACAAAGAGAAAAAAGGAGACACTGTCCCAACCACAGTGCTTTGGATAAGTGTTTTACAAAGGGGGGAAAAAGGAACCCAACCAATTGTTGTCTCAGTGTTCTAATGTTTTAAATTACAGCGTACTCAACAAATACTCATCTTACTATACTTTCGTTTCTCCAGACCTTTAAAACTGGCAGTGTGAGAGTTTTTGATGTTGTGACTAAAATTTTTAAAGGTCATGGAAAACCATAATTCAAAAAGAGTCATGTACCAAAATGTTCATTGCAGCTCTATTTACAATAGCCAGGACATGGAAGCAACCTAAGTGTCCATCAACAGATGAATGGATAAAGAAGATGTGGCACATATATATAATGGAATGTTACTCAGCCATAAAAAGAAATGAAATTGAGTTATTTGTAGTGAGGTGGATGGACCTAGAGTCTGTCATACAGAGTGAAGTAAGTCAGAAAGAGAAAGACAAATACCGTATGCTAACACATATATATGGAATCTAAGAAAAAAAAAAGGTCATGAAGAACCTAGGGGCAAGACGGGAATAAAGACACAGACCTACTAGAGAATGGACTTGAGGATATGGGGAGGGGGAAGGGTAAGCTGGGACAAAGTGAGAGAGTGGAATGGACATATATACGCTACCAAACGTAAAATAGATAGCTAGTGGGAAGCAGCCGCATAGCACAGGGAGATCAGCTCGGTGCTTTGTGACCGCCTGGAGGGGTGGGATAGGGAGGGCGGGAGGGAGGGAGACGCAAGAGGGAAGAGATATGGGGACATATGTTTACGTATAACTGATTCACTTTGTTATAAAGCAGAAAGTACAGAAACTAACACACCACTGTAAAGCAATTATACTCCAATAAAGATGTTTAAAAAGAAATAAAATAAAGGTCATGGAACAGTTGTAATTTCATGGATGATTAAGATGACTTTGTACAGACTCAGCTTACATTGTCATTGCTAGTCTCACACTGTCATGCAAAGTGAGGACTGCTTGCTGTCTCCTTGTGGGTATTTAGCACAGGACTAGATGCACGATACACTCTCAGAAAGCATTAAGCATCACAGTTATTATTTGTAAGAAGTCTTGCTAGAGACAGAGGGATGGCCAAGATGAACCCCAGTGACCCATCTCTTACCTTGTACAGATGTCAAGGATCATGGAGGCTTTGGCGTCCTGAGGCTTCTTGACTAGAAACACAGAAGACAGAAGGATGGGGTAGGGGGTTTCCTGGGTTCTGATCCAAGAGGGAGGGAGACATTAGCATGGGGGTGGTGGAAGGGTGACAGATAGGGTCTGGACTCCTTTTACCTGGTTGGGGGGCTGGACGTATGGAAACCCGGAGGTCAAACTTTTTGCAGGTGACTTTGCCTTTGAGTTTGGCGTGGTACACGGTCACCACCTGGCGAGATGAGAGGGGAGACAAGGTGTCAGCCCACTTGACTTGGGAAGGGGAGGGTGCCTCTGGGGCAGAGGAACCTAGAGAAAGTGGTGGGCCAAGAAGGTGTGGGTTCCCGTTCCTTACCGACAAGGTACCCTGTCCTTTCCCTTGAGCTGTTAATGTGAAATCCTCATTTTCCTTGGTCTGTGGGGAGTGGGGAGAGAGAAGAGACAGCATTGGGAACCAAGCCTTCCCCTGGCTGTGATGGGCATCTGCCCTCCCTCCCGCCTCCTAGCAAACTCTGACTGGCATGGAGGATGAAAGTGATGAGGGTTTCGCCAGGTGGCTATACCTCTTCTGAGCGCAGGAGGCTAGCAGATTCCCAGATGATACGATGCCTGATCAGAGAGCTGCGGCTGGGTAGTTGGATGGACACATCCAGGTTCAGCTCCTTGTGATCAGGGACATCCTTCTGGTACTGGGCCAAGGCTTGGAACACCATGAAAGTGGCCTGTTGCCCATGACAGAGAAAGAGGGTGAATCTGGGCGACTGAGAAAGTGGTTAGAATCTACTGAAGGATGAAGAGACTCAGATCAGACTTGGGGCCCTGAGGCTGTGACCTAGAACCCACCAGAGAGGGTGAGAATACGACTGGGGGTTGCTGGATACCGAGGACATGTCCTAGAACTCTCTGAGTGAGAGAGGTTCAGACCAGAACTTGGAGACACTGGGAACATGTCTAGAACCCACCAGAAAGTATAAACATAAGACTGAAAGTCTAGCCACACTGAGAAGGTGGTCTAGACCCATCCAGAGGAGAGAGTCTGAGACAAGAGTTTAGAGGCACTGAGAATGTGTCTAGAACCCACTCATGAAAAAAAGGATAAAATTGGAATCTGGGAACACTAAGCCTCTGATCTAGAACCCAAAATTGACACCGAGAATGTGATTGAGAGCCCACCAGAAAGAAAAAGGGTTAAACTGGAATCTGAGGTTGCTGGAGTTTGAGGTTACTGAACCCGTGGTCTAGAACTCATTAGGGACTAGAATAACTGAGAACCTGGTCTAAAACTCACAGTAAGATGTGGTAACACTGAGAGCTTGATGGAACTGAGAACATGGCCTAGAGCCCACCAGTGGGAGAGAAAGGCTTGGATAATGGCCTAGAATCATTAAGAACCTGGTCTAGAACCCACCAGTGAGACAGGATAAGAAGGGAACGTGGTAGAAATGGGAACATGGTCTAGAACCGACAGGGGGAGAGAGAGGCTCACACCTGAACCTGGGCCCTGAGGACATGATCTAGACACCAGGATGGAAAAGAAGGCTCAGAACACAGCTTGGGGCATCCAGAATGTAGTCTAGAATCCATAGATGGGTTTGCAATTAAAAAAAAAAAAAGGTTTCTCAACTTCATTCCAATCATCCTGGCTCATGGGACAGAAGCACTGCCTCTCTTGGTCTCAGTGTCTTCTCCAGAAAGCTAATGGGAGGCCATAGGAGGTTGGGATGCAGGTGCCTGGGGGTGTGGGGCTACTTGCCTGCGTGGAGCCGTAACCACCTCCGTAGTATCTCTGCTCATTGAGCCAGCGCACAACAGGAGGCACAGAGTCAAAGTCTTTGAGCACCAGCAGAGCCAAGAGGGCGTAGGATGTGGCTTCCACGTTGTAGAGCTTCTGGCCATGCTCCTCCCAGCGGTTCCTTTCTGCAGGGAGAACCCCCACCCCATAATGCTCACTGCTCTGTCCAGCCTGTAAATAGCTCAGAGAAAGCTCAGAAAAAAGACTCATACTAGACCTCTTGGTGTTCAGGTGTCCTGGCCCACATTCAAGGTCCTCAATCTGCTGGCTCCTGCCTCATTCTCTTCCCTCATTAACCTTCACTTCTCCATTTGAATTCTGAACTGCAGCCCCACTGCAGGAGATTCCCTAAACTTGCCATGCTCATTCTTACCTCTGAGCCTTTGCATATTCTGTTCCCTTGACTTGGAGCACCTTTTCTCCATCTACTCCTGGTTAGTTCTTACCCACCCTATACAATTCAGCTTCAATGGCACCCCAAGATTGGGTGAGGCCCTTCTTCCTGCTGTCTCTCAAAGTATCCTGTGCTTCTCCCGTCCCAGCACTATGATGCTCTACAGTAATCTATTAACTCATTTCTTTCTTCAACTGGAGTGTGAGGCCATAATGGCAGGAGCTGTGCTGTATTCACTGTGGTGTCCCAAGTGCCTAAGAAAGTAACAATGGCAGAGACTGTCACTAAGAACAATACCCTCCTCTTCCTGGGTACACAGTTGGACTACATCTCCCAGATGCCTTTGCAGGTAGGTATGGCCACATGACTGAGCTCTGGCCAATGGAATGTGCACGGCAATGATGGGGACCCTTCCATGTCTGGTCCACCTCCATTGCACAGTCTTCCTACTTCCCCTTCAGCTTGGATGGGATGTGTTCTGAGGCCCCAGAGTGGCAGAGCCTGGAAAAGATAGAGGCCTGGATCCCTGCATCACTGTATGGAGGAGAGCTGTTCACCAACAACAAACTTTTGTTGTGTTAAGCCACTTTAGTATATGTTACATTATGTTACTTGAGATACCTTATTATCAGTGAGTGCAAACATGATACAGTGTCATCACTGTGCTGAATTCCCTATGGCATTATCTTATCGGATCTTAATTACCCTTGAGATAATGATATTATTAACAATATTAAAGGCAATGATGCTATCAGTGATAGAGCTCTTACAGTATGCTAGACCCTTTTCTACTTGCATTATTCATTTAATCTTTACAACCACCCTATGACATAGGTATCATTGTAAGATGAGGAAACTAAGGTCCAGAGAGGCTAAGCAAGGTCAGACAGTGAGAAAGTGGCAGAGTGGGATTTCAATCTATATCTGTCTGATGTCAGAGCCCATGTTCTTAATGACACCTCACTGCCGTGTCATAGCAAGTGCTCAACACACAACATTCAACATTGTTGAATGAATTGTGCAATGAACCTTCTTGTGTGGCTTACATTGAGGACTTTTCACACCATAGAGTCATCCATCCCAGCTCAGCTTGGAGCTGTCCATCCCAGTGCAGCTTAAAGCCATGCATCCCAGCTCGAGAGGGCCACCCTCACACCCCAGCCATGCATCCCTCTTTACCCCTCCAGGCTGCCCCTCACCTGTGGCTGTGTTCAGAAATTTGTTGACGAGGTCATCATCCAGCTTGCCCAACAGAGCCAGGGCGTAGCCAGCAATGGCCACAGTATATGGCCTTTGCAACTCTATGTAGTGGTCTTCAAGGAAGTCTCCTGCCTTAGTGATGCTGCGCCCCAGGCTCTGTGAGAAAGAGGATTGGGTACTCTGGTCAGGTGGGCGTTGCTGCCACAGAGAACTGGTAAGGATCACATAAGCATCACTTCTTGGGCACCAGGTGGTTTCTGTCCTTGGGACCTATCTGCCTTGCATCTGTCTATTTTCGAGGGTTTCCCAATGTGAGCTGCTTTGTCGCTGAGTACCTACTCTGTGCTGGGGTGGGGGGGGCGGGGGAGTCTATATACCCTGTGTTGTGCTAGTAAATGTTTAAACAACATTGTTAACAACCAGCTCTCCAGTGGAGGCACGGGATTGGAGGGGTGGGGTGGGTGGAGGGGTTGCTAGTTTATAGATTGCCAATTACTGTGGTGTAAAAACTTCCACGATGGTCAATTTCAAGCTACTAATGTGATGTCCCTGAACATGCAGTGGGGAAGAGATGCCCCCAAAAGGCACTCGTGAGCTAGTATGAGGCAGATTCAGCACACCAAGGGAACACCTCTTATCCAATCATTATCATCATCACAGCTAGCTCTTACTATGTCCCAGTCATATATCCGCTCGTTTAATCTCATAAAATCCTATGAGACAGGTATTATTTTCATCATTATCCTGCTGTGCAGATAAAAATACTGTGACCCAGAAAGATGGGGATTGGGGGAAGACATGATTTGAAGTGTTTGCTGATTTCCATGGTGTCAATACTATCATGGCTGATTTCAACCTAGCAATGTGGCATCACTGAATGTAGATTTGGGAAAAGATGGGCAGTAACACAACATCATATAATATTTCCACCATACAGATACAATAGACAAAAGTAACCTCAAGAGAATATGATAAAAGGTAGCAAAATATTTAGGAAGTGATACATTTTAAGTGTTTATTACCTGTGTTTTTAGTGTTTAATGTTTGCAGTTTAACTGTAAGTTTATATAATTTAATTTTTAACAATGATTGTCTTTAACAACCAGCTTGCAAAGTCCTGGAAATTTAACAACTGGCTTCCACAAGCTGGGCAGCATCCTGTTGATTTAAACGCCAGCAGTCTGGTTCCACAGCCTATGCCATACTTCATGCTGTGTTGTAGAAGAAACAATCCTTTTGCCTGCCCAGCTATCCCTCCTACATCTGTCCTTGACTGTTGTAAGAATACCTCCTCCCTTTCATTCACATGGCCACAGTGGAAGCAGCCATATTTGCCCACTAAGACCTACTTCCTGGCCTCAGCTGATTGGTCCAGGGGTGAATCCCTGACCCAAGCTGAGCCAATCAGAATCCTTCACTGGGAATCTGAGCTCTAGCCTTGGTCTGACTATTTCGCCAAGGAAGACAGCCATGTTCTGCCAGTCAGGCTGGATGGCAGGGAAAAGTTGAATTATTGGGCAAGAAGGGAATGAAAGACATGTGAGAACATGAAGAACAAAGCATCCTGGCAGAGTCCCTGAGGCTATTTTCATTTTTTTTTTTTTTGACTTCGCAGGCATGTGGGATCTTAGTTCCCCAACCAGGGATCGGACCTTAACCACTGGACTACCAAGGAAGTCCCTACTTTCATCTTTGAATTCGATAAATTCTTAGATCCCTAAAATAAAATTCCCATCTATTTTTGTACAATCTAGGTCACATGTGTGACATCTAGGACAACTCAGAGAGTCCTTAAAAAAAGCAAAGATTATTACACCCATTTTACAGATGCACACACTGAGGCCCAGCAAGGGGAAGTGCCTGAGAGTCAGGATTTGAGGTCAGTTCTGTCTGACCCCACAGTTCTAGTGCTCTTTTCTGCTATAATTTCTCTCAAATCCTCAAGGTTGGAACCAGGAAGGCCTGGGTCCCTCTTGGGCATAAAAGGTAACAGCCCCCTCCCCTCCACCTCTTTTCTGGGGTTCTGAGGAGGGAGAAGCAGCTGGCTGAAGGGGAGGTCCTGAGGTTCCCCACTAGGGCAACTAAAATTCAAACAACCCACTCTCAAAACCCCAGGGCAAAGCAGATTGAGTGATTACAGATTCTCAGGAGCCTGTCTTTCTAAGCTTCTCTGCTTCAGAACCAAAACTAGAGGAAAAGGGGATAGCAATGAGCCAACATTTTTAATGCTTTTCCTTTTGGGGTCATGGACCCCTTTAAAAATCTCCTGAAAGATCCCTCAGACTAAGGTAATAATCTTGAGGATTCCGCCCCCACTCCCCTTTTAGCTCTGTGTCCTGAGTTTTCTTTAGGGAAGCAGCAAGGATACAGATGTAGGAGTGTTGTGGAAAGCAAGCTGAAGGGGCTTTTGTTGCAATTGGCTACAACTCTCTGACGATGGTAAAGCAGGCAGAAAGGACCCGATCTTTGATTTCTCTGTGCCTCAGTTTTCTCTTCTGTAAACTGGGGATAATAAGAGTAGCCTACCTCTTGGGCTGTTACAAGGATTACAGGACTTAAACTTGTCACACTCTTAGATGAGTTATCTTAGTTAGATACTCTTATGGCTGCTGTGGTGGTTGTTACCGCACTGGGAGGACTGGAAATGGCCCGAAAGCAACACCTCACCTTCCCAGGTGGATGTGTCCTGCGTGGGGGAGAGGAAGAAGGGAGAGAGCGGGGGACACTTACGTTGACCTGTCCCTCGCAAATGTCTTTAGCCTCCTGCAGCGCGATGAGAACAAACGCCGTGAGGGACACGTCTTTCTCCTCGGGATTCTTGAAGCCACCCTAGAGGAGAAGCAGGAAACAAGGATAGGGTCACCAGTGTGTTCCCACACGCCAACCAACCCCCCTGTAGGATCAGCCGGTCAAGGCAGCGCTGGGTCTCTTCCCAGTTTCTCCCCAGGAGGGTCAAGCTCTTTGGTATTCATTCATTCATTCTGCAAATGTTGCTGATGGTGTGGTTGAGATGTTGGATGAAAACCAGGCTACGGCCCCAGCCCTCATGCAACTCCCCATCTGGTAGGGGAGACAGATAGGAACCAACCAGCTCATCAACAAATATATAATTACAAACTGATGAGTGCTGCACAGGAGAAGTGGATGTGGCATTGAGAAAGGACAGTGGGAGTGTGACTCAGTCACGGAAAAGCGTCCCTGAGGGATGATAGCTGGAACCACAATCTGAACAGTGAGTAGGAGTAAACTCTCAAAGAGGGCAGGTGTTAGCATGCCAGGCAGCAGGAACAGCATGTGCAAAGGCCCTGTGTCTGTATAGAGCAAGGCTCCCAGCAGTACAGGTGGAGTGTGGAAAGAAGGAGGTAAGGCTATGAGGCTGGAAGCCTGAAAGGTCAGGCTAAGGCATCAATTCTCCAACTTAAGCACACCTGGTGGGGGGGGGGGGGGGGAGGGTGTTAAAACTTAGATTCCTAGGCGTTGCCCCTAAATTTTCTGGTTCAGTGCCTCTGGAGTCCAGCCTGAGAATTTCTGACATTTTGCATTTCTAACAAGTTTGCAGATACTACTGATGCTGCTGGCCTGGGGAGCACACTTTTAGGACCACAGCTCTGAGTTCTGTGTTTAAGAGCAATGGGGAGCCGGGGGAATTTCGTTTTGCACCAGATCCTGCAGGTCTCTGGTTTTTGCAAGGGAGGAATGACGCTTTCAGTTCCCTCATTTCCCTATTCCCACACACAGTGAATTGGGCAGTGGGTGGATGACGGAATCTTCCTCCCGTCCATCCTGTGATGCTCAGGTGCCCTCCTCTCCCAGCCTGCTCCGAATCTCTGCCTCTTACAATCATTTCTTGGTGTATCACGGGCCCATCCTCCTGGAAGACTCCATCAGGCTTCTGCTTCTCTAGGATCAGCCATTTGACGGCCCCACAGAGGACCTGGGAGTCGATGGCGATGAGGTTGGAGGCCAGTGCGAAGACCTTGACCACGAAGGCTGTCAGCCTGGTGGGTGGGTACAGAGCATGAGCCAATTGTCTCTGGGATCCGGAGACTGGCATCCCAGACAACCAATGAGCAGAGAGAGGCAGGGCCTAGCCTGGTTGGCCCAGGTTCCCTTCCCAAATCTCAGGGCCCAGCGTTGCCTGCAGGTTACACAGCGGGCTGGTACCTTGACTCTGGGTGGCGACCCGCCTAGACCACCCCAGGCCGGGATCCAGGCCCTGCTCAGGGAGGTGCAAGGCTGAGGATGGGCCAGCTGATCATGGAGACTCACCAGGTGCTGGGTGGCCGGCTCAGGAAGGCGGCGTAAGCCGAGTTGGGTTGTCTGTAGGCCAGCTGCTGGGTGTACCCTGCAGGGAGGAGAGAAGTGTCACTAGAGGCTGAGTGGAGGGGGTGGCTGGGGTGGGTAGGCCAGGTAGGGGAGGGGCTTAGAAAGAGGATAAAGATTCTGTGAGGGGCGGGACAGGGGTCCAGAGAGGAAAGGTGGGGCTCTGGGCAGGGGGCGGGCGTATAGGAGGGAGGGGAGCTTAAAGCGGAGAGGGACTCAGAGAGGGTGGGAGGATCAGAGAGAAGAAGGGGAAGGAGTTCTCGGAGGAGAGGGGATTCAGAGAGAGGAGGGTTCTCAGGGGCAAGCGGGCCTCAGCGGGGGAGGGAGCTCAGAGAGGGGCTCAGAGAGGGGTGAGGGAGTGCTCTCAGAGGAGGGGCGGGGCCTCGAGATGGGCGGGGTCTCAGGAGTGGAGGGGGCGCAGAGGGGCAGGGTCCAGGGGTGGAGGGGTTTCATAGGAGCGGGTCTCAGAGAGGTGGCGTCTCAGGGGCGGAGGGGGCTCAGAGGGGCGGGTGGGGCGCGCACCCCTCTTGATGAGCTCCAAGGACTCCTGCCGCTTCTCCAGGCCGAACTTCTCCCACTGTTCTGTGTTGTCCAGGTAGTGCACCGCGATGACCGTGGGCGTCATGCTGATCATGTTCTGCTCCCCACAGCCCGAGGGGGTTTGGATGAGGTGCTTCAGCCGCTCCCCGTTGATGGCGTCCTCTGTCAACTGGGCCACTGGGGTCCCTGCAGCCGGGCGTGAGGATGGCACTCAAGTCTGGGGCTGCCCCCAGCATTTCCAGGCTCTGACCAGCCAGGGCCCAAGGGGTCAGGGACAGCTGGGAGCATGTCAATGATGGAAGTGATGCACGGCTGAGTGGCTAGAGGGGGCTCTGCATTTGTGGGCAGTGGGAGTGGGCTTCTGCTTCACAGGGGAACTCCGGTCCCTGGGTCCTCTGGTTACACCAGTGGTAAAATAATTCCAGGAACAACAACCATGAATACTTTTATCATGCTTAATGCTATTTGCTAGGCTCTGTTCTAACACCATACAGTATCTCATTTAATCCTCCCAACAACCCTTAGATGTCGATACTATTATTCGCCCCATCACAGATGAGGAAACCAAGGGTCTCCTCCCAAAACCTTACAGCTCTCAAGTTGCAAGGTGCCTTTCCAGCTCCGTCTTGCCCCTTCTTGCCCCAGTTCTCCATCCGAGGCAATGAAATCCAGAATTTCTTCTCTTGAACTCTACTGCTTCTTTATCAGCAAAAGCTATTTGCTGAACTAAGTACTGCCTGGAGCCTTCTATAAAGCAGATTAAGGAGGGGTTCTAGCTGAAGAGGAGGCGGGAAACACAGTGGTTAAATACTCCTGGGATTAGATGGAACTGGGCTCCCTGCTTAGGAGTCATGGCCCCCCAACACCATTCTGGGTCCCCTGGGGTTGGGGCCAAGGGCATCTCACCTTGCAGGAGGATCTTGGTCTCTGACTCCGTGTCTGGGACTTGGTCACTGAGATCGGCAGCTTTGATTTCCTCTCGCTGCACTCCCTCTGCCGGGTGAATGGGAGACACAGATGGCACCAGCCCCCTCCCACCCCACCCTGCATCACCACCCAGGCCTCACCCCCTCTGCCTCGCTGACTCACTTTGTCCCAGATGTTCTGGATCCAGTGTGCGGACAGCCACAGTTTTGTTGACTCTCATTCCTTCTGGCTGGACAGGGTTAGGGGTAGGGGGAGTCGTGTGAATAAAAGGGCAGACAGACAGACAGTCAGCAGGGCACTGTTCTTGGGATTACTGTAGCATAAGGCATTATGGCCTCCACCTGACCTTAGCTGTATGGCTGGAAGTCAGTTACTTAACCTGTCTGTGCCTCAGCTTCCTTCCTTATAAGGAGGTAATATAAACATCTACCTCGGGCTTCCCTGGTGGCGCAGTGGTTGAGAGTCCGCCTGCCAATGCAGGGGACACGGGTTCGTGACCCGGTCCAGGAAGATCCCACATGCTGCGGAGCGGCTGGGCCCGTGAGCCATGGCCGCTGAGCCTGCACGTCCGGAGCCTGTGCTCCGCAAGGGGAGCGGCCACAACAGTGAGAGGCCCGCGTACCACAAAAAACAAAAACAAAAACATCTACCTCATACCCACTGTTGTGCAAATTAACAATAAAATTATAAATTAATAAAGAAATAACAAGACCTTTAGAAATCTTCCTATGTGCCTAGAAGATTGCTTTCCTGGGGTTAATTCATGTAATCTTCACAACAACCCACTGGAGTGGGTACTGCTATTATCAATGCCATTTTAAAGATGGGGGAACTGGGATACAGACAGGTGAAGTAACTTGCCCAAGGTCACACAGTGAGCAGAACAGAATTTGGGCTTGAACCTGGTAGTCTGCTCCAGAGTCTGTTTCTAAACCAAATGCCTCTCAATGGGCTAAATAAAATAAAAATCTAAAAATAAAACAAATAATATAAAAGTAAAACAAAAATTTTAAATAAATAAATAAGAATAAAGAAAATGAAAAAATAAATGAAAGAATGTACATAAGTACTAACACAGTGGCTGACACATAAGTGCTCAATTAAAATAGGGGCTATCTTAATTAGAATCAAAGGCCCAATGTGAGCTGTCATGTGTCTACAGATAAACATTTTTATTTTATTTATTTATTTATTTATTTGGCTGCACCGTGCGGCTTACGAGATCTTAGTTCCCTAACCAGGGATCGAACCCGGGGCCACAGCAGTGAAAGCGCTGAGTCCCAATCACTGGACTGCCAGGGAATTCCCACCAAGATTTTTAAAGTCAAAAGAAAACTCCTATGCTGAAAGGTGTTACAAAATGTCATATTTGATATTAAAATATATTTTAATGAAAAAAATATTATTTATCTTTGTTTGAGCTTTTGGGTGCACCCTAAAATTGTGTGCCCAAGGAGAATACCTCACTTGCCTCACCCTAATCCCGGCCCTGCTTCCAAACCTCCAGGACTCCTGAATTTCCTAAGGTTGGCCTGGGTCTCTAACCTGGGTTGACAGCACAGGGAGAACAGGAGCCTTTCCTGAAGGACGAGCGGCAGCAGGTACCCCAAGGACTCACCACGACCTTCAGGGTCTTCTTGACACCATCACTGATGAAGCGGTTGTAGACAGCAGCCTTGACCTCCACCTCATGGAGGCCGACCTTCAGGGGCACTATGACATAAGGCACGGGCACCGAGGACTTGGGTGGGATGATTACAGTCTGCTGGTGGCGCTTCTTGGCAGTTGCCAGGCTACAGAAGGCTGAATTGTAGAGCAATTCCACCCTCACCTGCCGGGGAGAGAGAGTATCAAGTCAGGGGAATGTACCACAGACCCTCTTCTCCAAGCCCCCATCATGCTTCCATTGCACCAGGAGCCCACCTTGAGCTCCTCCGCCTCCCGGTAGTTGTAGAGGACAGCTCGGATCTCCACCTGCTCATTGCGCACAACAGAGTAGGGTAGACGCAGGTCAATGAAGAAATCCTGCATCACCGTGACCTCATAGGGGTCAGCCACACAGATCCCTGCCCGGGTGGAAACAGAACACGAAGTGTCAGGGGTGGGGCAGGGAGTGGGCAAGGTGGACTGGATCCAAGTTCAGGTCCAAGTTCTTGCCCCTACCAATGTCTCAGTGCTTACCTCTGACCACTGGAGCTGTCCCAAGGTCAGCCTGTCTTTGCAGAAGCCCATAGACGAACCATCATTAACGGCGATAACTTACAGATGGTGGTGGTGGCTGGGAGTTGCCATGATTTAATGGTTCCCATTTCCTCTGTGATTTTACTCATAGATAGATGTGTAGGAGGGAAGAAGGCAAGCATAAATGAAGGGTCTATATGTATGATCTCCAAAATGGTAGCCCCAAGTGGTCACTGGGCACTTGAAATGTGGCTAGCTCGATTGAGAGTGAGAACTGGATTCCTACTTTTATTTCCTTTTAATTAACTTAGATTTAAACTTAAAAAAACCAATGCTCATTGTGAATGTAATAAAAACCACTGAATTGTACACTTTCAAATGGTGACTTTCATGTTATGTCAATTACATCTCAATTTTAAAAAGGATGCTTGATTCAGTGATTGGAAAACTTTTAAAGGTTTTAGTTTAAGTATGTTTAGAACAACTTGGATAGGCCAATCTACCTTTTCAACTGTAAATTTTATGGATCCCAAAATACAGATCAGAGTATTTTCAATGAAAAGCTAACATCCTAATTTAGATGCACTGTCAGTATAAAATACATGGCAGATTTCAAAGGCTTAGTACAAACAAAAATAAAATACATGGGGCTTCCCTGGTGGCACAGTGGTTGAGAGTCCGCCTGCCGATGCAGGGGACACGGGTTCGTGCCCTGGTCCGGGAAGATCCCACATGCCGCGGACCGGCTGGGCCCGTGAGCCATGGCCGCTGAGCCTGAGCGTCCAGAGCCTGTGCTCCGCAGCAGGAGAGGCCACAACGGTGAGAGGCCCACGTACCACAAAAAACAAAACAAAACAAAAAAACAAACTTGATTAATAAATTTGAGATATTAATCGGTTATTCTTAAATATTAATAGATTTGCTATTGTAACATGATTACTGTGGTAGTGGTTTTGCAAATTTTTACAAAATGTTGAAATAATAATATTTTGGATATATTTGGATTAAATAAAGTGTATTATTAAAATTGATTTAATCTACTCCTTTTTTGTGGGGCTACCAGAAAATTTTAAATGACATACGCAGCTTGCTTTATATTTCTAATGGACAGTGCTGATCTACATTGTAAAAATTAATGAAAGGACACCTCAACTAAAATTGGAGAAGGGAAGGCCTGAAGAGGGAGTTCTGATGCCCTACCACTGACTTCAGTTATCCCAAACAGGAAGATGTTATCCCAAACAGGAAGATGTCAACAGATCCCAACAGGAAGAAGCTTCAATTACAGACCCCAACTGGAAGAGATGTTTGCACTCCCAAACAGAAAGTGCAATTAACTTAACTACAGCAGGAGGAAGGAAGATTTTCTTCCTGCCCAGCAACAAGCCCAGCCAATGAAAACACTGCAGCTCAGCCAATGAGAAACTGTCTTACCTGAACTGTTACTTTCCTCCAATGAGGACATTTTTCTCTTGCTGATGACTTGTTTGCCCTACCCTTCATTCTATAAAAACCTTTCATTTTGTACAATTCCTCTGAGTATCTCTCTCCTCGCCAGATAAGATGCTGCCCAGCTCATGAATTGTTTAACAAACCTAATTAGATCTTCAAATTTACTCAGTTGAATTTTGTTAACAACATTGAGCAAAACGATGCTTAAAAACAGTGGTTACTTGTGATACAACAGTTACCAGATTAAATGTAAGCAAAGTGTTGATGCAAGTGAAATTTGTGAAAAATTATCACATTAATAATAATGTTACACCAAGAAATCTATTAAGATTGGAGGGAATTCCCTGGCGGTCCAGTGGTTAGGACTCCCTGCTCTCACTGCTGAGGGCCAATCCCTGACTGGACCAGGGTTCAATCCCTGGCTGGGGAACTAAGATTCCATAAGCCACGCACCACCGCCAAAAAAGAAAAAAAAAAAAGATCTGATAATTTTCCGTATTCTTCAATGGCAGAAAAAATAATAATCAGAGGCTTGAACAAAATCCTTATTTCCCAATCTACAGTCATTTACTCATCACCCTCGGGGGGTCTGCTATAGTCACTGGTTTAATTTACCATTTCTTACCTACTATTTACATTTTTAAACTCAAATTTAATTTACTACGGTGCATGAGAACCCAGGTTCTTGTGCTATACACAGGTTACCTCAAGGAAAACAAAATGATTTTGTTAAATACTAGTTAGCTTGTGTTGCCTGCAGAAAGCTAGACCACTCTCTCTTCGTTTAAAAAAGGAGTTAAACAAGAAGTAGAGACAAGGTAAAGACATCCTTGCACTAGACTTAGCTTTTCTCCTTGAATGAGATGGAAGGAAGAATGGAAAGAGAACCAAAAAAGGAATGACTTCTGATACACAATTCCTGTCACTTCAAGGCAGTGAAACAATTATTCTGTGTGATACTGTGACAGTGGCTACAAGTCAAGTCCAAACCCATAGAATGTACAACACCAAGAGTGAATCCTAATGTCAACTATGGACTTCAGTTCGTAATAATGTATCAGTATTGGCCCATCCACTATAACAAACGTACCACACTAATGCAAGATGTTAACAATAGGGGAATCTGGGGGAGAGAGGGGTACATGGCACCTCTCTACATATTTTGCTCAATTGTTTCTGAAAACCTAATACATTTTTTAAAAATCTCTTCCTTAAAAAGAAATGAGGGACTTCGCTGGTGGTCCAGTGGTTAAGAATCCGCCTTCCAATGCAGGGGACGTGAGTTCAATCCCTGGTCTGGGAACTAAGATCCTCCATGCCACAGGGCAACTAAGCCCGTGACCCACAACTACTGAGCATGCAAGCCACAACTAGAGAGCCCACGTGCTCTGGAGCCAGTACACCACAACTAGAGAGAAGCCCTCATGCCAAAACGAAGAGCCCGCGCTGCAACTAAGACCCCACGCAGCCAAAAAGTAAATAAATAAATAAATATATATATATATATATATTTTTTTTTTTTGCAGTACGCGGGCCTCTCACTGTTGTGGCCTCTCCCTTTGCGGAGCACAGGCTCCGGACGCCCAGGCTCAGTGGCCATGGCCCACAGGCCCAGCCGCTCTGCGGCATGTGGGATCCTCCCAGACTGGGGCACGAACCCGTGTCCCCTGCATCGGCAGGCGGACTCCCAACCACTGTGCCACCAGGGAAGCCCTAAATAAATATTTTTTAAAAAAAGACATGACTACGCCAGAAACTAACACAACACTGTAAATCAACTATACTTCAGTTAAAAAAAAAAAAGAAAGAAAGAAATGACTTCTGATGCCTGCTTTGTGTCATTTAAGGGAGCGTCTATGCATCTCCGAAAGGAATTTACCCTTTGATCCCTAAAGCATGTTCGACTCCAATAATAAAAATAATAGCTCACACTCATTGAACATTTACAATGTGTCAGGTACTATTATCACTATTATAAAATCCCAACACTTTGAATAGGTACTACTTCTATTGTGCCCATTTTACGGATGAGCACAGAGAGGCTGGGTAACTTGACGAAGGCCACACAGCTGCCCAGAGGAGGACCTGCGATTTGGACACAGGCACTTGGGCTTGGGAAGCTCCTTGCTTTTAACCTTACTGACTCTTTAATTCCTAATAGCTCACAAGTCTAAAAATTTCAAGTTCTATTGGTTATCATGCTTCAGTCTTTATTCTGAAGTTTGGATTCCTGAAAGTTTCATTCATTTGTGATCCTGGGCAAGTCACCTTCTTTCCCTGGCTTCAGTGTTCTCAGTTGTAGGAGAATCATAGTACCAACCTTATAGGGTAGTTGTGAGCATTAAATGAGGTAATATGTAGAGAGTTAATGATGTTGAAAAGACATCACAGGCAAGATCTAAAAACCACAGGGATTCTGCCCCCCCCCCCCGGGGACATTTGGTAATATCTGGGGACATTTTGGATGTCACAACTAGGGAGATGGGTTGCTACTGGAATCTAGCAGGTAGAAGCCATGAAGATACCCAACATCTTATATTGCACAGGACAGACCCCTGCCACAAAGAATGACCCAGCCCAGAATGACATCAGTGATGAGATTGAGAAATGCTGGTGCAGGGAAGAACTCTTCCAACATTCATGTCCATACAAATCTCCTGGGGATCAGAAGATGTTTCCAGTAATAAAATGCACATTCTGACTGAGCAGGTTAGGAGTGACTAAGATTCTGAATGTCTAACAAACTCCCTGGTAAACCTACTTTACCAGATTGCAGCTGGCCCAGGGAATAGGCTTTGAGGGGCAAGGATCTAACTGTGGTTTTCAACTTTTTTTTTTTTTCAAGCTGCAGGAACTTTTTTTTAGGTAGAGGGAACCTCACACAGAATCTCGATATATGGAAATGTACAACAGGCAAATATGAAGATGCTCTGATTTGAAACAGGGATGGGGGCCCCAAACTAGAACTGTGCTGAGTGGTTTTGGAGTCTCAGGCAGAAGGAAAACTATGTGCTCTGTGTATATGATTTCATCTGCCATCATCACTTGTTCAAGAGAAATTAGCAGAAAATTGCAATACCTTCCATTAGAAGCAAGATAGACAAAGAAGCAGATGTTGAAAATCTTGAAGCCAGGAAAGTAAAATGATAATAAAGTATAATTTATGATAAATTACAACTAAACAAACTTATACTAGAGTATATTAAGTTCTGAGTTTGCTATAAATAAAATACACTTAATGTTGTGAGTTTTAATACACCTAGTTTTAAAATGTTTCAGTGTTTTCAATAGTTTTTCAACCTCTTTAATGCTCTGGAAAAAATTAAATATACATAAAACATGCATATGGGACACATCTTTCCTTTTACCTCAAACTCCATTATGACTCGGCACGGTGCTGGTTTATATTTAAAATTTGGATATTTTGTACAACATGTTTTTTTTGCATTCATTTTGATTTTTTTCCAAAAAAACTATTGCATGAAAATATGATTTATCTTGATGACTGAGTTTTTTGGCACCCACTTAATTTTGCATTCAAAGTCAGTGCCTCACTCTCCTTGCCCCATTCTCAGACCTGCTATAAGTCATCCATATTTGGCTAGGGTGTGTCAGGGTCTCACACCCAGTCCTTGGTGGCGGTGGGGCGGGAGGGCACGGGGTGTACACATACACCTTTTTTTGTCGTGTTTCACAATCTAACCACCAATGTTTCAATCACTCATTTCATCCCGCTTCCTCTTTTAGTTTTCCTTTGTCGGCCTGTTTTTTTTTGTTGTTGTTTTTTTTGCGGTACGCGGGCCTCACACTGTTGCAGCCTCTCCCGCTGCGGAGCACAGGCTCCGGATGGCATGTGGGATCTTCCCGGACCGGGGCACGAACCCGCGTTCCCCGCATCGGCAGGCGGACTCTCAACCACTGAGCCACCAGGGAAGCCCTATTTTTTCTTAATTGCTTTACCCAGTATCATGGCAACATCACCCCTGCAAAGTTTTTGTTGCTATAAATCATTCTGTATGATACTATGATGGTGGATACATGTCATTATACATTTGTCCAAACCCATAGAACGTAAAAAACCAAGAGTGAACCCTGACCTCAGCTAAGAACTTGCAGTGATAATGATGTATCCATGCATCCTTCGATTGTTACAAATGCACCATGCTGGTGGGGGATGTTGATGGTGAGGGAGACTGTGTCTGTGGTGGGGAAAGGGGTATATGGGAAATCTCTGCACCATCCTCTCAATTTTGCTCTGAACTAAAACTGCACTAAAACTAAAATCTATTTACAAAAAGCACAATGTCACTCACATTCTACACTCTAATGCCTCTCCAGGAACCAGAGGAAAGTGTCAGCCACCAGGAAACAAAGGATCTGTCAGGATTGAATGAGAAAATGCCCAGGGCGGTCTGGGGTCCTGGCCTCCTGAGGACCAGACCACCATCCTCTCTCACCTTTCTTGTCTGACAAGCTCACAGCCAGAATCTCCCAAGTGGTGATGGAGTCTTTCAAAAACACGTTCATGAGCTTCGTGGAGATTCTGGATCGGGGAGGGGAGGCATTAGAAGATACCTAGCATGGTGGAGGGGGAGAGCTGGTAGGGAGGGGCCCCAAGGGACAGGGTTGGAGTGGCTGGTGGGTGGGCACATGTAGGTAGCCCCAACTCTTCTAGTCTAGGTTGTGTGATTCCACAATGATTCCAGAAAAGAGGGGGCATTGAGGTGCGTGCAAACTCAATGTCCAGTCTGGGGTGATGATAGGGGCTGGCCTGGGGGTGGGTTGAAGTGGGAGCATCCCAGCCTTACCCATTTTTGTCTGGGCCTTTAAGGTCCTCAACAATGGTCCACAGCCAGCTCTCTGGGAACTGGCTTCGGGAAATGATGTCCTCCTCCGGGATTATTTCATCATCCAGGTCACCTGCGGGGGGTGGGAGTTAAAACAGACCCACTTTCCCCACCGTTCCCTTTTAGATATTTATCTCTATAATACCCTGGAGGGATTCCTAGCAGCGACACACCCAGGGTCACGTGATCACTTCCGGGGACCCTAGGCAAATTTGCCTCTGGGGGCTCCTTTCTCCATAAAAAAAATTAAAAATCATATTTTACAATTCTGTTGGTAGAAAGGTGAAAATAAGCCAGGCTGAACTGGATTGATTTTTTTTTCCTGTCTTTGATTTCCAAGGGAATGAAAACATTTGCATGAATGAGCCTCTAAAAGCATCATTGGCCCCCAAACACCATGCCTGCTGTGTCTGATGGTTAAGTCCATCCTGAAAGCAACGGGGTGAGCTGAGAGATTCCCCAGACTTGATGGAGATTGCTGAAGAGATGGTGGCCTTTAAATGCCAGCTTGACCCCGTCTGCACGTAAACGAAGCTGGGCTGGAATAGAGTTCAAACCTGGCTGGGCTTTCCTCAAAAAACGATGAACAGATTTTAATTTGGTTCTGGGTCTGTCTAACGACAAAGTAGGTGGAATTCCATAGATGCCCAAATCCACCCATACTCTGGAATAATCCATCAAAGTGCCCTTGGGGTACTAACTTTTAATCAACCCTCTGTCTCACCCCAATTGGCTACAGAAATGACACAATGCTGGAAAAAAAAAAAAACAAAACACCCATGTGTGTAAATTATACCCCAGTAAATCAGAAGTTTTGTCCAAATTTCCTCTTTGTGAAAGAAAAGTCATGGGTCACTGGAGCAGACAGCACCATGTCTAGTTATTGCAATTTGCAAAGAGACTGAAGGTAGAAGTCTTTGTTCATGTGTGTTGGGAATCTTTGTGTCTTTGGAGCAGGGGAGGGGTGGAGGAGTTGCTAGCTTTCCAGGTAAAGGAATTTAGACCTACTTGACCACTTTGGCAATGGCGGCCATTGAGAGGTGCCTGCAAACATTCAGTTTTGACAAAGCACATCCTGGCAGAAAAGTCCTTCTCTTAGTTAAGACATATTAAAAGATGTTTAAAAAAAGGAGGGATCAGTTCACACCGGGGTCCTCTGCCTCTCAGCAGACGGCAGTGGGGACTCTTGTTAGTTCTGTAAATGCCACTTTGTGGTGGAGATCATTCTGGTTTTGCTTGAAATGGGCTTCTAAGAGAATTTTCTCTTGGCTTTGCTTAAGACTGACCTGGCCTGAGATATAAAGTTTCAAGTGTGTACATCCAGAACTGAGTGAATGAATGAATGAATGAACATTGATTAGGCGTAAGTTAGGCACCTCTCTTTGGAAGGCAACATGAATTAGTTTTCTTTGGTGAAGGCAAGGCTAGAACCCATCTTAGTCTTCCCATTGGCAACTAGTGTGACCAGCCCTGTCATCTAGAATTGCTCTCAGACCAGGGATGTCCTGGGCACTGCTAAGGTCAAACTTCAGAGTGACAGGGCCAGGGCCAGGATGACCCTCCCAGGCAGGAAGTTCCTTTGCCTCAGGATGAGCCTTCCAGGCAAGGGAAGAAGGACCTAGTCCCCCACTGGACTTGGTCCTTCTTCCCTCAGACCTGAATCACCTAGCTCCTCATCTGAAGGCTTCTTTCTTCCTCTGACAGGCGCCTCCTCTCTCCTCGGATAAGCACCTCCCTCCTTGGACAGGCACCTCCCCCCTTGGACAGGCACCTGCCCCCCTTGGATAGGCCCCTGCCCCCCTTGGATAGGCACCTCCCCCCCTTGGACAGGCACCTCCCCCTTGGACAGGCACCTCCTCCTCCCTTGGACAGGGGCCTCCTCCCTGCCACCGGACTCACTCCTGGCCAGCTCCAGTGTCCCGTCGCGGCTGTGCTGCAGCCGCAGCTGGGCGATGTATTCACAGCAGTCCAGAAAGGCCTTCACGCATGCGTCGCCTTGCAGGATGAACTGGGCCCGGCGCTGGCACGGGAACTTCATGGGGTTGTCCCGCATGCCGTCCTCACAGCACTTGCGCAGCTCCTTGTTGTACTGACCGGCTGTGGGAGCACAGATCCCCCGCCCCGCACCCCCTCAGCCTCGAAGCAGGAGGCACTCAGGACAGACCCCAGGGAGAACTTCCCCACGGCCAGGCCCTCCCCCTCCCTCTCCGTCTGGGATCCCGTAGGGGCTGGATCTCGGGTGGGAAGCGGTGGGCGAGCGCCGACGGAGGGCTCCCACCTTTATCCGTCCTCTTTTCCATGAGCTGCACCGAGCGGCGTCGGCGGGGGGCTGGTTTCGGACACTGAGGATCTAAGGGCAGGTGGACCGGGAACCAGATGGATTAGGCATCTACTGTGTGCCCTTGGTTTCCTCCCCACAGTAGCCCCCCGTGAGGTCGGGGTGTTATTGATCCCATTTGACAGATGTAGAAACTGAGGCTCCGAAAGAAGTAATACGCTAGATGGTGGTGGAGGCGGGACTTCAATACCCCCACCCCCATCCCAAAGCGCTGCCCTTAACCTGTTCTCAGTATCTGGGAGGTGGAAGCCCTGCCCCTCCCTAGCCCTGCTGCTGGCTGCATCCTCACCTGTCCTCTGGGCGGTCTGTAAGCCTTTGCTGGTCTTGAGGGCCAGCCCTGCATCCGTGAAGACGCCGGCATAGTCACTTCCACTGCCTGGGGTACAGCCAATGTCTGCCTTCTCCACTACGTCCCAGATCTGCCATGGGGAGTGGAGGCCGAGAGTGTGGCGAGACCGGGTCAGCCATGCCTCCACCGATTGGCCAACACGTCCATCCAACCCCACCCCACCCATCCTCATCCTGGTCCCCAGGCTGGCCGGCCATGGTGGACCATCTGGAGTTAGACCTGGAGCTGTGTCCATCCCCGGGACCATCCCCAGCTTGGACCCTTGTCCATCCACATTCTCAGCGTCAATTTGACTTCAACCCATCCCCGTATCTGCGTCCATTCGGACCTCTACACTTAACCCACACTCAAACCCATTTGTTCCCCCCAGCACCATTCCCACCTCAACCCAACGCCGTCTCTAAACCAACCTCAGTGACGCGGGGGCATACCTTACTCTGGGTCAATTTGTTCTTCTTATTCAGCACAAACACGCCCTTGTCCACGGCCACCAGCCCCACTCGGGACCCCTGGTCAGCCTCGATCTTCAGGGTTATCTGTTGCCCAGGCCTATGGTGCTTCTCTTCCTTCCCGCCATTTTTCACCACCAGCTATGGTCAGGGGTGGGGTTGGGTGGGGGGACGTTTGGAGGGGAGGGAGGGAGAAGTCAGCCCTGCAAGGCCCTGGTCTCTGGAAGCCAAAGACAAAGGAGGTCCTGGGCTGGACTGAAAGGAGAGAGAGAGGAAGGGAGGCAGGCAGAACCGGCATCAGGCAGAAAGTCAAGAAAAGAGAGAAAGCCAGGAGCAAGAGAGATACTGAGTACAAGCTTCCAGTTACAAAATAAATGAGTCTTGGGGATGAAAGTCAATAACCACGTAGTATCTCTGTATGGTGACACACGGTCACTCACTAGACTCATCGTGGTGAACACTTTGAAACGTAGAGAAATATCGAATCACTATGTTGTAGACCAGGAACTAACATAGTGATGTAGGTCAATTGTACTTCATGACAAACAAACAGACTCAGAAAAAGAGATCAGATTTGTGGTTACCAGAGGTAAGGGGAGGGGGAATTGAATTACAACTTCCAGTTGTAAGATGAATAAGTACCAGAGGTGTAAGGTACAAGATGCAAATATATATAATTAACGCTGCTGTACGTTATATATGAAAGTCATTAGAGGAAACCCTGAGTTCTCACCACAAGGGAAAAGATTATTTTTTCTATTTCTTTAATTCTGTACCTCTATGAGATGATGGATGTTCACTCAACTTACTGTGATCATTTCATGATGTACGTAAGTCAAGTCATTATGCTCTACACCTTAAAGTTAGTGCTGTATGTCAATTACATCTCAATAAAACTGGAAGAAAAAAAGATACTGAGACTGAAACGTAAAGGGAAGAAAAGAAGAAGAGAGAGGCAGGAACCCTGCAAATGGGGGAGAGGAACAGATTCAGAAGGTCGGAGAGAGGTCTTCCCTGGTGGCGCAGTGGTTGAGAATCCGCTTGCCAATGCAGGGGACACTGGTTCGAGCCCTGGTCCGGGAAGATCCCACATGCCGCGGAGCAACTAAGCCCATGTGCCACAACTACTGAAGCCCACGCGCCTAAAGCCCATGCTCTGCAACAAGAGAAGCCACCACAATGAGAAGCCCGTGCACCGCAACGAAGAGTAGCCCCCGCTCGCAACTAGAGAAAAGCCCGAGTGCAGCAACGAAGACCCAACACAGCCAAAATAAATAAATAAATAAAATAAACTTAAAAATTTTAAAAAGGAGTTGGAGAGAGACAGAGCCAGAGGGCCCAAGATGGGGAGAGTGACAGCCAGGCGGAGAGTCCCCAGATGGGCACAGAGAGATGCCACAAAGCTTACCGTGCCCACACATGAGTCCTTGACATCCACCCACACGGAGTCGGCCACCACCTCCCTCTGGTTGTTGCTGGTGATCAGCGTGTAATAGGCCACCAGGCGGAAGGAAGGGATGAAGTCCGGTGTGATGGTCATGGGCAACACCACCAGGTCCTGGCCGGGCTCTCGCACCTGCCGCCCCACCTTCAACAGCTTCCCCTTGTTCATGACCTGGGGAGAACAGGTCGGTATAAGTATCGGAAAGGTAAGAGGGAGGATGGCGGGGGCAGCCGGGATGGTGGAGGGCTCCCGGGGGTGCTGGGTGTTCTAGGAAGCCACAGACCAAGTAAGTGTAGTAGCGGATCTTGGCTTGGTGGCTGGGGTCCGTGCGCAGGTGGAAGTTGACATTGAGAGTCTCCCCAGGCTTGAGCTCCACTCGGGGCACAGAGAGGTGCAGGTAATTGTTGGAGTTGCCCTGGGTGTTGTAGGGTAGGGCCTGCATGGTCCTAGTGGCCTGTCGTGCCTCTGGGATATTCTCCTGCCGTGTGCGTACCTGGGCAAGGAAAGATGGATGCATGCTGGCCCCCCAGAGATGTCCACACCCATATCCCTGGGACCAGGGAATATGGGATTTTATGTGGCAAGAGAGACTTTGCAGATGAGATTAGGTTAAGGATCTTGAGGAAATGGGGAAGAGATGGGATTATCCAGGTGGGCGCAATGCCATTGCAAGGGTCCTTATAAGACGTCTAGGCAGAAGGTAGGACCCTGCTGTGCAGACGAGAACCCTTCTATGCATGCAAACTACCATATATATATAGGATGGATAAACACCAAGGTCCTACTGTATAGCACAGGGAACTATATACAGTATCCTGTGATAGACCATAGTGGAAAAGAATATGAAAAAGAAGGTATATACATATATATATATATATTCAGTCATATATATATATAACTGAGTCACTTTGCCGTGCAGCAGAAATTAACACAACATCGTAAATCAACTATGCTTCAATAAAATAAAGTAAAAAAAAGAGCCCTTCTATGTAAATGAAAACATCTCTCTGTGGATGGCACATCCCTTTATGCAAATGAAAGGACCCCCCCCCCCCCGTATGCCCAGGACAGGATCCCTTTGTGCAAATGTCAGGACCCTGCTCTACAAAATCAAGCCCCCTGTCTCCTGATGTGGGGTCGCGAGGCTGGCCTGGACTCACGGTGATGGTCAGGGGCTGCCGGTTGTTGAGTGTGTTGATGCTCAGCTTGGCCACACCGTCCTCCTGGGTCAAGGACTGCACATTGGTGCCCTGGGTCACCACTGGGATGTGGCGGGCAGGGGAGCCGTCGGGGTTCGTCACGAACACCTGTGGGTGCAGGCCAGGTGGAGGGGGTTCAGGCAGACCTAGAGGCATGGTCAAGCTCAGGAGCAGTGAAGGGGGTTTGCAGCCCCGCCCTGAGTCTCACCATGAGGTCGAAGGGCATGGCGGGTTTGAAGAACTTGGGGGTCTTGGTGAAGTGGATCTGGTAGGGGGAGGTCACGATGGGGATCCCGGTACGCTCTGCCTCCACCATGTCGCTGCCTGAGGGGGGCCAATCGTGAGGGTGGGCTCCTGGGCCACTCCTCAGGACCAGGCCTCCCCCCTCAGATTGGACTCTGCCTTCATACTGGGCCTCCCATCTCAGACTGGACCGTGCAGTGGTGCTGGGCCCCTGCCCTCAGCCTGGCCTCACCTGAGTGCAGGATGACGGTGACAGACACATATAAGGACTTGCCCACTAGGGCATCGGCTTGGGAGGGCTGTACCCCGTTCAGCAAGACCTGTCGTTGCAGTTTGGCCACCCCAGTACCGTCATTGATCTGGGGGAGACAGTGAAGGCTCAGCGGAGGCGGGGGTTGGGGTGGGGAGGGGGGCTCAGGTGCGGGAGGGGCGCTGATGGGGACAAGAAGGATGCTCAGAGTGGAAGAGACTTAGAGGGGGCCTCTGTTAGGTACCGGAATATGGGTGAGGGAGTGGGCCAATGAAATCCTCCGGTCATCATCCTGGACTCCAAAGATGACGAAAGCTGTTCCATCCACATTCTCCCCGTACAAGAACCTGTGAGGTGGGGAGAGTCTCAGATTCTCCCCTCCTTAAAAAGATGAGTCTTCCTCCAAACTTCTGTTGGCTGTGGCTGAGCCCCTCCCCCTAGCTGGTCCCTCCCCTGTCCCTCACCTGGCAATGATGTTGACTTTCAGGCCATCTGGGTCATCGATGTAGTAGAATTTCTCTTCAGGCTCCACTTGGACCTCAAAACTGGGCAGCACTGGGGGAACAGGTCGTGGTGGGCAGTAAGCCAGCACTGGGCCCAGAATTATGTGCTCCCCCCTCCTTCCCCACGCTCCCACCTGCGGCTCCCTGCTCCCCTTACCGTATTCCTTCACCTCAAACTCAGCAGAGAAGACCTGCTGCGGAGAATCTTCGTAGTGGGCTTTGATCTTCCACTGCCCCATGCTGTGGCGAAAGCAGGCTAGTGATCTGACCAGACCTAGCAGCCCCCCACTCCCTCTTCTGGGGTAGGGGAGCCCTGAACCCCCTCCTGGAGAGCGTGACATACTTGACCAGCTCTGGGATGTTCCAAGACAAGGCCAAGATGCCAAACTGGTTGTGAGAAGACAGGGAGTCCCGCTTGATGGGAATGCCATCGGGGGTCTGTGGGGAGACAGGGAGAGAAATGGCTCTTCAGAGACCAGGCTTAGCCCTTTGGCTCTCCCCTCCCTCTCTGTGTCTGGACACTGTGTCGTGTCTACAGGGGCAGTGGTTAAGAACATGCACCTGAGCCAGTCAGCCTGGGTTCAAATCCCCACTGTGCCACTTACAAGCTGTGTGACGTGGGCAAGTTACTTAACCTCTCTGTGCTCAGTGTGCACATCTAGAAAACGGAGATAATTATAGCTCCTATGTCACTGGTTTGGTATGGTGATCAGTGTCTCTCTGAAGACTAATAAAAACTAGCATTTATCGCCTACTTTTGTGCAGGACCCTGCACTAAGCATTTGATTTGTATAAATCACACATAATTGCCCACATTTGCCTTTTTTGACCTAAAGCATAGCAATGTCTCATGGCTTGACCTAATACACATATGATTTCATTTGTTGCCAACAGTTAAACAACAGGAGACATCACATAGGAATCTGGTATTCTGGCTTCTCTTGGAAATTGGGGTAACTGTGGATAACGTGCTCCTGTTGGCACAAGGTGACATTTCATGGGAGCCGGGCAGCTCTGTGCCTTTAGAGGAGGTGTGTGTTGTGTTCTCTGTTCCCCGCATATCCCACAATCCCTAAAGCCAGCTCACAGCTTTCAGAACCTGGTCCCTGTTAGGTTTGTGTGATCTCAGTACATACTCACGAAGACCCCGTGAGGAGCACATACTCCATTCCTTCCCTTCCTTCTCTCTCTGTTCCTCCTACACTTGTTTTTCCTTGCCCATCGCTCCCTCCTTCTTTCTCCCCTCTCCTTCCCTCTCTCCCTTCTTCCAGTAAGTTTTTATTTACCCTACTACCTGGCAAGCGTGGCGTCAACAGATAATTCCTTTCCGTTTGGAATTTAAGTTCAAAGGATGTTGGGAGAAGGTGCAATTAACAAATGAATAAATCCAATTTAGAAGATGCTAAAGGGAGATGGCCCGGAAGGAAAATAAGAGTGGAGGAAGGGAAAATGAGAGTGGAGTGCTTGTGTGTGTGGGGGGGGGGGGGGGGGGGGGGGGGGGGGGGGGTGGGATTTTTTTTTTTTTTTTTTTGCGGTACGCGGGCCTCTCACTGTTGTGGCCTCTCCCGTTGCGGAGCACAGGTTCCGGCCGTGGCTCACGGGCCTAGCCGCTCCGCGGCATGTGGGATCTTCCCAGACCGGGACACGAACCCGTGTCCCCTGCATCGGCAGGCGGACTCATAACCACTGCGCCACCAGGGAAGCCCTGGGTGTTGCAATTTTATGGGGCGCTCAGAGAGTTCCCACTGTAAAACTGGGACACTGGTGATATTTGAGCAAAGACTTGAAGGAGGTGATGGAGCAAGCTGTGTGGAAATTTGGAGGAAGAGGGTTTTTTGGGTAGGGGGAATAGCCTGTGCAAAGGTCCTGGGGCAGACTGTGCCTGGGCTGTTGGAGGAACAGTGAGGAGGCCGGCGTGGCTGGAGCAGAGTGAGCGAGGGGGAGACAGGGAGGAGGTGAGGGCAGGGAGGGGACGGGGTAGGTAGGGCCAGGCCTAGTGGGCAGCGGGGAGGACTTGGGCTTTTACCTCGAGGGAGGTGGGAGCCCTGGAGCGCTGCGGGCAGAGGAGGGGTGCTCACAAGCGCCCTCTGGCTGCACTAGCCGGAACAGACTACATAGAATTAGCGTCTGTCATTATCCCAATCTTCAGATGAGGAAAAGGAGACTTGGAAAGGTGAAGTGACCTGCCCAGAGTCAAACAGTGACCAGGGGTTTATCGGGACCCATAATCCACGGGCGCAAGCATCTCTCTACGTAGTCTCCCTGGGCCCCCGCCCCCTCTCCCCATCTGTGTGCCTCTACATATTTCTTTGCCTTTAGGTCTCTGCTGCTGGGCCTTTGCCGGTGTCTTCTTTCTCTGTCTCTATCTCTTTGTCTCTCCCCGAGTCTCTGCCCCGGGTAGGTCTGGGGCCCCGGTTGGCTGGTACCTCAATGCTGACGATAACTGTCTGGCCCACGGGCAGCAGCTTGTGGTCAACGGTAAAGATCCGATACAGGACTGAGACGAGGCGGGAGAGAAAGGGAGAGCTGGGTGAGGCCCTGCCCCTCCCCCCAGCCCTGCCCCCGGCCCTCTCCAGCCACCCCCAGACCCTTACCCGTGGAGCCTGGGGTGTAGATGGTCTTGTCCGTCTGGATGAAGAGGTACCCACTCTGAAGGCTTATCAGCACCACCTTCTCCACCAGGACGTTCCCGAAGGCCGCCTGGACAGTCACGAATTTGTGCCCCTTGTCTGATTTTAACTCCTTGCTGGCCGGGATCTGGGCATGAACAGGGGATTATTAGGCGTCTGCTCTAGGGCCCCTTGTCTTTGGCTGGATCCACACCTGCCCCTCTTCACAACAGAGCCTGCCCATCACTCCTGGTCTCCCTTGTTTGCCAAGGTTTGGGGAAAAAAAGGGTACTTGGAGAGAGGGCAAGGGCAAGAGAGGGGGTGGGAGTCAGAGGGAAGGACGGGAAGGGGGAATCAGACAGTGGGCTCAGAAGAGGGAGAGCTCAGAACGGGAAGGGGACTCCGAAAGAGGAGGAGACTCAGAGAGGGGAGGGGTTGTGAAAGGAGAGAGGGCTTAGAGGGGGAGGGGCTTGGAGGGGAGGGGCTCAGAAATGGGTGGGGGGGCTCAGAGATGGTCCTGCTAGGAAGGGGGTGGAGTTGAGAGAGATAAGGGGGCTATGTATAGCACAGGGAACTCTGGTCAATATTATGTAACAACCTAAATGGGAAAAGAACTTGAAAAAGAATATATACATGTATATGTATAACTGAATCACTTTGCTGTACACCTGAAATTATCACAGCATTGTTAATCAACTATACTCCAATATAAAATAAAAAGTTAAAAAAAAAAAGGTGGAGGCACCTCAGAGAAAGCACTGGAAGAAGCAGCGGGAGGGGCTCAGCAAAGGGAGGGACTCAAAAGGGGCGGAGATTCAGAGAGGGGAGGGGCTCAGAATGGGGAGGAGACTCAGACAGAAGGGGCCGGGCTCAGATAGAGTGGGTGGGGCTCAGAGAGGGAGGAGGGGCTCAGCAGCGGGAGCACTCAAAGAGGGGGTGGGGTGTCAGCGGGGCTGGGCTCCCTTTCGTGCCCACCTTTATGGTGACGGTGCCCAGGTAGCCATTGGCACTGTTCAGCTCGGTGTTTTCGCTGGACAGCACTTGTCTCTTGGACGGGAAGTCGTGGACAGTGACGGCGACTGGTATATTCCCTTCCCCTTCGTGGGCCTCCAGCACCACCGTCTCCTCGCTCTCCAGACGCAGGATGTTGGGGATGATCATGGAATACCTGCCAGAGGGGAGCACAGGGCATGGAGCTGTCATGCCTGGAGCCCGAGATGCCAGCCCTATCCGGGTTAGCGCTCTGCCCCAGCCCCTGTTCCCACAGGGGATCTGGTGACCGGCAGACAGCTCAGGGGCTTCAAATCCCATCAACTCCTGAACCTCCAAATCAAAACCACCAACTCTGGGAGCCCTGACCCCTAAATCTTTAAACACCCCAAGTCTCTAAACACCCAACCCTGGAACACCCTAAACCTCTAGCACCCCAGACCTATAAATACAACCAACTCCACCTCCTCATTCACATACACCCATACGAAATCCCTAAACCCTTAAATCCTGAAACTACAAACTCCCAGATCCTATGAAGTCCAAACTTCCCGTCCACAGAATCACCCAACACCGCGCATGCGCCCTAAACTTGCAGGGACCTGTACCCACAAATGCCCACTCCCATCTCAGAAGCAGCCTTGTTTGGGGTCGGGCTGTGACTACTCACATGGGGTCCCCCAGGGCCAGGGGGAGACTGGCCAGCAGCAGCAGCAGACTGGGACCCGAGGTAGGATGCATGGTGCCAGGACAGTGAAGGGACAGAGGGACGGAGGGACAGAGAGACAGAGGGGCGGGGGGAGGAGTGAGCAGAGCTTGCTGGAGGCTGCCTTTTATCTAGCTCCCGCCTTTCTCCCTCCTCAGCCCAGCCCTCCACTCCCCATGGGCTCCCCACTCCCTGGTACTGCCCCAGATTTCTCAATAGTATTTACTAAGTTTTTCAGTCTGTGGGGCAGCATGAACTTGGGGTAAGTAACCCGAGGGCATGTCCTCCTGCAACAGGAACACAACAGCCTCCTGCCCTGGACTCCCTCAGGGTCAAGGCCAGCTGGTGAACAGGGATCTTTCCCTGTCACACTCACTTGGTAGTAGAGGAAAATTGAGGACAGAGGGGCCCCCCCACCCCAGATATGTGGGCCTGATCCTCAGTCCACTTTTGGCTGTGCATTTATTCACCAAACCCTCCCTGTGAGTCCATCTCTATGCTGGCAGCTGGAGTCCCACTTCTAGAATCTTCCATGCTGGGGTTGGGGTGGGGGACAGAGTCCAGCACCAAAGCTCCTAGCCCCATGGAGTGCCTTCCCCAGTGGAAAAGAACTCATCTTCTTGGGGGGTCAGGGAAGGCTTCTTGGAGGAGGGGACATTTCAGCTGGGCTTTGAAGTATGTGTAGGAGCTCACCATCCAGGTAAGAATATTTTCTAGGGCAAGGAGAGCCTGGAGCTCCCTTCACCTCCTCTCATCAAGAAACCTGAGTAGTGGGACTTCCCTGGCGGTCCAGTGGGTAAGACCCTGCACTTCCACTGCAGGGGTCACGGGTTCAAGCCCTGGTCGGGGAACTGAGATTCCCCCATGCCTCAAGCTGTGGCCAAAAAAAAAAAAAGAGGCCTGAGTGGCTGTGATGGTTTATAAAAGTCATAATTGAGGAAAGTCCCATGGCTAGCTTTTGTGTTACATCAGCAACCTCTTAGCATATTATTATTATTATTAAAAAATGTATTTAACTTTTTGCATACTCCTATGGTTCCGCATCTAAAAATAACCTTCCTCCTGCTCCTATCGCTAGCCATCAGGGTCTCAGACATGAGCATGTAACCAAATCTTGTGTTTCTTTCCAGAGGTATCTTATGTGTTTACAAATGTTCACACGTTTTAAAAGCAAACATCAGCAAAGCTCTACACACTCTTTCTTCTGGTCTCCCTGGGTTACACCTTTTGCTGTTTCATAAACGATATACCTTAGACATTGTTTAATATCAGTGCTCAGAGAGCTTCCTTGTTCTTACAGGCAACTGCCCAGTATTACATTGTGTGGAAGTAACCAGACTGGTGGACAGACAGACTTCCTATTGTTACAAAACCACGCTCCCTCCAGGGAGTAATCTTGAGCTTGCCTTATTTCCCAGCTCTCACAATTATTAAGTGGTAAACTTTGGGCAACTTACTGATAACCACCTGAGCCTCAGTTTCCTCCTGTAAAGTAGAGTTATAACAGCAGCAACTTCAAAGGGTTCTTACTGCAAAGAGAAGAGATAATTCTGGATCAAAGCCTGCGTGCAACGGTAATCTTGCTAGATATCGCTAAATTCTCCTCCATAATTATATTGATTTGCATACTTGCCGGCCCTGCACAGAATCGCCAATTTCCTCATGGCCTCCCCTTGAGGGCATATTGGCAAAACTTTGTATTTTTGCCTCTGTGTCATTTTAATTTGATTTTAAGTTGGGCATCTGGCGGAAGGGGGGATGTGAAGTCAGGTGTCAGAGGGGGATGGTGTGTTGATGGGGGATCCAGACCCCTGGAGGGCTGTTTTCCAAAGCTTCCTTGAAGGGGTTAACTGGGACCTCATTCTGATTTCCTGTAAACCGTGCCATTTTCCTGGTCATGCCCCCGTGCCCCAAGTAGGGGGTGGCATGGAGCAGTAGAACAAACCTGGCTTGTGTCTGCTTTGATTGCGACACCCTTTCTTTGGAAGAGGAGGCGGGTTAGGCAAACACCTGCTTACTCTCCAGATATGGGGCTCCACTTCTGAAACTGGGAAGGGGGCCACCTGCTAGGATTCCCCCAAACCCCAATATTTATCTTCCTCCCCTTTCCCGCCACCAAAATACCCACCCAGTCTCCTGGTTTCATTATAGCCTTAAAGCATTCAGGGTTGTGATTTTACAACCTTGAGAAGGAATTCCTGCTGGCCTCGGTCTCCCTGCAAGCCTGGCTGCTTCCTACCCCAGAGCCTCTGTTAGTACATCTGAGCAATGGGACTGATGGTAGTTCCTGCTGTTTTGACAGTTAAGGGAACACAGATGGCTTGGAGCCCTGGGCTTGGAGAGAAGGCTCATGGCCATGGTGGTGGAGGTCTGGGAAGGGTCCTGCCCATGACCTCCAAGAATTGACCAGAGGGATGGAGGTGAAAATGGACCAAGGTCTCCTGGAAGGGAAGGAAACCAGAGGAATTCTTCCAGGCTTTTTCCTGGGGAATGGACATTTGCGCCCAGAAGTTTGGGAGGGGGATGGCAGGCAAGATAAGCCGGCAGGGGAGAGAGAGAAGGAGGGAGAGTGAGGCTGCTGGGCAGGTTCTAAGTGGGATATCTAGGAGACTCTTTTTTTTTTGGCTGTGCCACTCTGCTTGCGGGATCTTAGTTCCCAGACCAGGGATCAAACCCAGGCCCCCTGCCCTGGAAACGCGGAGTCCTAACCACTGGACCGCCAGGGAATTCCCTCTAGGAAACTCATACCGACAAAGTATTTGTTATTTACCTGAAATTCAAATTTAACTGGGCATCCTGTATTTTGTCTGGCAACCCTAGCTGGGGTGCAAACAGAGAATAAAGTGAAAAATGGGCATGATTTCTAGGTGGGGGGAGCCCAGGTACCCCCTTCCCCTCCCCTGCACCTGCCTCAGTGCCGTTATCTCCCGGATGTACCCCATCCCCACCCTTTCCCCATACAGGCGCCGCCATGCCAGGGAGCAGCAGAGACCCCCCTCTCCCCCTCCCCACGACCCCCGCCGGTTCCAGGATGGGTGCTATACTGCTTTCTGGGAATCTTCCTCCAGGACCCAGAGCCAGGCCCTGCTTCCAACCACCTCCCCCATCCAGCTCCCTGCCCCACCAGCAGCCTGGACTTCCCCTTCCCAACTCATTACTCATTAACTTGTGGTTAACCTTGACCTGATTAAACCCATCCACTTGCCCTCTGGCTCCTTCCCTCCACCACCTCACACAGCATAGCAGAGGCCTGGGCACCAGGGACCCTTTTTTTTTGGGCCGCGCAGCAGGGCTTGTGGGATCTTAGTTCCCCGACCAGGGATTGAACCCAGGACACCGCAGTGAGAATGCAGAGTCCTATCCACTGGACCACCAGGGAATTCCGGGCCAGAGGTTTTGACTGCAGCTCTGCCTTCCCCCAGCCTCGATTCCTCATCTGTAAATTAGACATTCACAACCATGGAACCTCCCTCTGAGTCTTGGGGTGACAGCACGTGGCATCAGGCAAGCTGAGTCCAGTGCCCAGCACATGGCCAGCGCACAATGTACTTGAATTTTATTTTTACTAACACCTGTCCCTCCTCTCTCTTGTCTTATTTCGGTGACAGTCCCTCCGGGCCTCCAAGCCAGAGGCCCCCCCCCCCCCCCGCCCCCGCTTCCTCCCTCTCCCTCATCCATCCCCTGTGAGCAGCCCTGTGACCCCTAGGCTGTCTCTCCCAACCCATCCTTTCTCTCCATCCCTAAGGCCCCGGCCTCCTTGCTGTAAACTCACCTCTTCCAGGTCATCTAGTCCACAGCAACTGGGCATTTTTTTTTTCTAAAACACACCTTTGCATTCTTTCTATAAAATTATGATGCATGATACAGGAATATGCGCTAATGACTGTGAACATCTCAGCTACAGCATCTTAACGATTTTATGCATCTAACTTGTTTATTCCAAATGCCTTAGGTGCTATTACTATCCCCGTTTTACAGATAAAGAAACTGAGGGCTTTGGCCACTTGCCCAAGATCCTCTAGCTGGTAAGAACTGAGATTTGAACCCGGCAGCTGGGCTCCAGAGTTTGTGCTCCTTAAACCGTATGAGTTTCTGACTGCTGCTATAACAGATGACCACAGCCCTGGTGGCTTAAAACAAGACATTTATTGGGCTTCCCTGGTGGCACAGTGATTGAGAGTCCGCCTGCCGAGGCAGGGGACACGGGTTCGTGCCCTGGTCCACATGCCGCGGAGTGGCTGGGCCCGTGATCCATGGCCGCTGAGCCAAAAAAACCAAAAACAAACAAACAAACAGAACACTGGAAAACAATACATTTATTATGCTGCAGTTCTGCAGGGCAGAAGTCTGAAACTGAGGTGTCAGTAGGGCTGTGTTCCTTCTGGAGGCTCTAGGGGAGGATCCGTTCCTGGGTTTTTCCAGCTTCTAGGGGCTGCCTACATTCCTTGGCTAGTGGCCCCTTCTTCCATCTTCAAAGCACATCACACTAGCCTGTTTACAGCATCACATCTCATTCTCTGATCCTGACCCTCCCACCTCCCTCTTTTTTTTTTTTTTTTTTTTGCTGTACGCGGGCCTCTCACGTTGTGACCTCTCCCGTTGTGGAGCACAGGCTCCGTGGCATGTGGGATCTTCCCGGACCGGGGCACGAACCCGTGTCCCCTGCATCGGCAGGCGGCCTCTCAACCACTGCTCCACCAGGGAAGCCCCCGCCTCCCTCTTAAAAGGACCCTTGTAATGACAACGCACCCACTCGAATAATCCAGAATCATCCCTCATTCTAAGATCCTTAATTGAATCACACCTGCCAAGTGCCTCTTGTCATGTAAGGGAACATAGTCACAGGCTCTGGGGATTAGGGCGGGGACAACTTGGGAGAGCCATGACTGCCCACCCCAGCATGCACGTGGTATAAAACGCCATCCTTGTACTACCATGTCCCGCCCTGCTTTAAACTCTTCCTTGGCTCCCGTGGGCCCCAGAACCAAGTCCAAGTGTGTCTGCCTGCTTTTAGGCTTCTGCCAGCTGCTCTTGCCCTCCCACTGGCCAAGCCAGACCTGCAGTGGAGCTTGCAAGCTATTCTGGGCATTGCCTTGCTGCATAATTTCCTCAGTCTGCAATGCCTTCCCACTTCCTTCTTTGTCTGGCTGGGCTATATATTCATCTGGGCCCTAGTTAGACATATTTCCGCTTGCAGGAAGCCTTGACCCCAGCCTGATTCCCTCCCCCTGGCCCATGCCTGTAGTCCCCACCAAGGAGTATTTTTCAGAGCTCCAAAATAGGTTCAGAGCGTTCTAGTTAAAGAGTGAAGCGGGGCGGGGGAAGAAATGCATCGTGGCGGTCTGCCCACAGGTGTGTGTGCAGGTGTGTGACCAGGTGCATCTCTAATTTGAACTCCTCAAGGTTCAGAGAAATCCATGAAAGGTCAGGCTGTGTTGCAGGGCACTGTGCTGAGCCAGACTCCCATTATCATGTGTGATGCTCAACTCTATGGGGTCCCCATTTTACATGCAAGGAAACAGAGAGATTAAACCACTTAACAGAGTCACACAGCAAATGGGGGCAAGGTCAAGAGGCTTGGTGGCAGGGAGTCTAGGTGCAGAGGGGCAGTGCACACAGTGGGAATGGGCAGCTCTGGAACCAGACTGCTGGTGTTTTTGAGTCCTGAGCCTTCTAACAACTTGTTTGCTGTGTTACCTTGGGCAAGTTACATAGCCTTTCTGTGCCTCATAAGCTTTTCAAGAGTTAAAGACCCTGGAAGCCTTAGAATAGAAGCCTTAGAATACAGCACTCAGCCTGAGCCACTTATGAGTCACCCAATCACCATTTTTTTTCTCCCCTCCAGTCTTTGCACACGCTGTCCCCTCATCTGGGCCTGCGTCTTTCCCCACTCTCTCTGCTCACCTCTGATTCCCCAGGCTGGGTCAGGGCCCTGTGATGGAACCGTCTGGTGACACCTTGAGTGTTGGGACCGGATGGGTCCTGGTCACTGCTCTGTCTTCAGGACCCGGCACAGGGCCTGGCACGCAGTGGTCACTCAATTAACATTTATTGAATGTGCAAAGCAATGGATACTGCAACCTCTCCCCACCCCGTGCCCCCAACGGATCTCTCAATTTCAAACCCCTGCATTAGCTCTCAACCCCCAGAAAGGCAAGAAACTGGAGTAGCAAAACAGATCGGTCATTATTGTACAGTTGCAAGTGGGGACAGGGTGCTCAACATCTGTGAGGGAGGGGGGCTGTCTGTCTTCTTCTGAATGGGCTCCAGGAACTCAGGTCCCAGGGAGCTGGATGCCTTGTGAGCACTGGCCCCCTCCTCGCCACACGCTCTTTGGGAGAAGCCGGAGCAGGGAATGTGTGAAGAGAGGGGGATGAAGGGGGATGAAGGAGTGTCCGAGGCAGGGACATGATCACAACAGCTCTCGCCCGCTGGTCGTTTTGTTGACTTTGGACAGGCCTTCCCGGAACCCAGAATCGGTCATTCTGCAGGCAGACAGACAGTTAAGGAGATAATCCGTGAGCCGAGGGGAGCCAGGCCTCGCCCGCTCAGCCCACCACACCTACCCCAGAGCCTCTTGGCCCTGCCCCAGGCTCCACCCACCTGCCCCCACAGCCCCGCCTTCCCGGCCCCTTGCTGCCCAAGCCCCACCCACCCCAGCCCGAGGGCTCACACTTGCTTCATCTGCACATCCTCCTCGTCCTCCTGGGGCAGCTGCAGGTACGGGTTATTCCTTGTGGGCTGGAACTTGTAGCCCGTGAGCACGAAGAAGGCGAGAGTGGAGCCCTCCACCAAGAGCTGGGGGCCAAGGGGGCAGAGTGGGAGTGTCAGGCACACGCCCCCACCTCCACCTCCACTGTCTGGGCCACCCTCCGCCCCACCTGGGGCCTCAGTGCTCACCTGGTACAGCCACTGCCACTGGAAAGGCACGGCCACCCGCAGCAGGATGGCGATGATCCGTGTGAAGTAGATGTAGCAGATGACCTGCAGGGACACGGGTGGGCACAGGGCTGAGGGACCACTGGGGATGCCTGGGGAGGGGGGCCGGGGATTATGGGCAGAGGGCGGGGGGGCGGGGCTCCGGGGGACTGCAGATGGAGGGGTTAGGGTGGGTGTGCCAATGGGCTGGTTGTTCCCCCTCCCAAACTTCCCGAGTGAGCACAGGGCTCCTACCATGACATAGTAATGCCGGAACAGCTTCAGCTTGGCCAGGTTCACTGCCACTGAGGGGTAGGCACAGAGAGCGGGGGTCAAGGGAAGGAGGCAGGGGGCAGGACGAAGGGGACAGGGGTGGAGAAGGGCTGGGGACAGGAGGACATTTGGGTGAATGTCTCAGGGGCATAGTGTGGAGGGGGATGTCCCAGGATGGTGACGGGGTGGAGAGGCAGGAAGAGGCAGTCAGAGGGGATGGAAGGGGCATCCAGGGGTCAGCAAGAGGGACCAGGAGCAGGCTGAGGGCCGAGGGCACAGCTCACCCTTCCCATCAGTGCCAGACGTGTCCTGGAGATGCCGGATGGACCTGGGAACGAGTGGGTGATGTGGGGGGCAGTCAGCACTGCCTCCACCCGTGCCTGCAGGGGAGGGGATCGGGTGGGGGTCCTCACCAGACCACGGGGAAGAGGATGGCGCCGCAGCAGATGAGGTCCACCAGAAAGAGGATCTCCTTCCAGACGCCGTAGTCGCTGGTGCCCTCCTCACGGGACTCGATGACAATGTAGGCCACGTTGGCCAGGACCTGCGGGGCGGGGGTGGGGTGGGTGGAATGGGCGGGCCCAGCCTGCACTCATGTCCACCTGCCCACCCTGGGGCCTCCATGTGCACCTGCAGCGAGATCACGATCCCAAAGACCTTCTTCTCCTTGTCGGACAGGATGTACTTGACGAAGGCCCAGCCAGAGCCGATCAAGGCGATGGTGATGAAGAGGAGGGCGCCCTTCAGCCTGGTGGAGGCGGGCAGGGGCTGTGGTGAGACTCGGGGGCCCAGCCCTCCCCTGCCCACCTCCTGCCCCCGGCAGAGAAGGGCACTCACAGATGTGTGATGTAGTGCATGACAGCGAGGCCTTCGATGGGGTGGCCCTGGCTGTTGATGAAGTAGTAGTTGATCTGGAGGTGGATGGACGGATGGACAGTCAGACAGATGGACGGGGGGATGGAGATGGTGGTGGTTTGGGAACACCGACAGTCGCTGTCGGATGGGTGGCCAGGAAGTGGCCTGAACAGAAGGTCATGATCAGGATGGTGAGTGGACCGAGAAAGGGACAGTCACAGCCAGAACGGCGGCCGGACAGATGGCTGGACAGTCACAGCCATGACAATGGAGGGAAGGTCACAGTCAGGTGGATGGACAGTTAGACAATCAGCCCGGTGGACACTCATAGCTGGACCCACAGACAGTCAGACTGAAAGGTGGGCGGTCACAGCTGGACAGGACTGGATGCACAGCCGGCCACGGTGATAAAATGGATGGACAAATGTATGGACAAATGGAACTCCCAAGCCCAGGGTCTGCAGAGATTTGAGGAGTGGCTTGTAGGGGCTTTTTCCTGGCTCCTGACACCCCAGCCCACCCCATCCTGCTCCCGGCCCAAGGCTCTCACACTGTGGAAGAGGAGAGAGACGCTCTTGGTGAAAGCCAGGGCTGCCATGAGCCAGTGGATCTTGAAGACGTTGTACCTGGCAGCAGGGTCGGGGACAGAAGAGAGTGGGAGGGCATCGGTCAGGGGTAGGAGTGGGAAGGTGTGATGAGGGGAGGTGGAGAACCCCCAGGGGCAAAGGCATTACGTGTTCTTGCAGAGGATGGACACCCAGAAGATGCCGGAGGCCAGGAAGCAGGCGGACATGACCATGTACAGCTTGAAGAGGGGGATTTCCGCCGCCGACAGGAAGCCCTCGGGGTTCTTCTCCCGGATCATTACCTGGGGAGGGGACAGCGGTGGGCAGGGGGATTGCGTGCTAGCTCCAGACTTGCGGGGCCCTGAGTGTGAGTCTGCGGCTCTCCCGCTCTCTCGCTGGCCGACTCCCTGTTTCTGAGCCTCAGTCTTCCCGTCTCCCAAATGGGCACGGAGCACCTGGCCTGCAGTGAGCGCTCCGCGAACCTGCTGCCCACCCTCGTCACCCCTGCTCACCGTGATGTCGAACGGCTGCTCCTGGCCCGGCACCGAGTTGTAGCAGTTGTGGAAGTTGAGGTTGTACTGGCCTTCCTCGGCCCTCGAGCCGATCACCACGTGGAACTGGGAGGTGGGGCAGACAGAGGGGAGAGGAGGCCTCAGCGTGGGTGGTCCCCGCACTGTGGAGGGGAGGGGCTGCAGGCACCCCCGGACACTCACACTGAAATTGTAGGAGTTGTTGAGATGGCCCAGGCCCAACACCAGGTCCTGGTCCTTTCCAGCAATGCCCTGAGGGGACAGAGGACCTCCATGGAGCATCAGCCGGCCCCCCCTGGGGGCAGGGCTTCCCCCCTCCCGCCCTGGCTTCCCCATACCTGCTGGTCGGCTTGTGACCCTGTGGGTTTCAACTTGGCCTTGTTGGGTGCAGTAGTGGTCCCTGCCAGGGGCAAGCAGGTGACTTTAGAGATAGACAGACAGCAGAATGATGGGCGGGACGTGTGGAGCGGCCCTGCCCACCCACCCCTCCGTGCCCGCACGGCCACCCTGACTCACCGCCATCCACCTTGGGGTTGACCCTGTGCTCTGACTTCGGGAGCTCTGGTTCGGAGGGCGCTTCGGGGAGGAGCCCGGGAGAGATGAACAGCTTCTTCTGTTCCCCATACTTTCGTACCTGGACCCTGTGGGATGAGGCTGGGAGGCTGAAGGCTGGGGTCAGGCACACCTGCTCTGCTGAGGGACTCAATGGCCCCTCGGGCCCTCTGGGGCTCAGCGTCGGGCTCCATCAGTGGTCACCAAGTTGCAGCATTTGGCCACCACCCATCGAGATGGCTGCTGCATCCCTGAGCTGCCTGTACCGAGGATTAGTTGTCACTTCCTGTGACATTAAGTCACTCATTCTACTGAAGTACACACTATTTAAAAAGAAAATGCTGTATATACAGAGAGGCAACAGAGTATCTTTGGACCCTGGGTTCAAATCCCAGTTTTCAGCCTCAGTTTTTTCATCTTTAGAATGGGGATAATAACAGTCTAAGCAGTCAATGAGTTAACACCTGTAAAGGTCCCAGGATGCTGCTTGGCGCACAGGGTGCATCCTACATGCACAAATGACTTGTATTAATTCTCACAACACCCCTCTGTGTTGGGTCTTCTGCCTTGAGACCCTAATACTGCCTGGGTACTCCTCCCCTCTCTCCCTCCCATAATCAGAAGGCTTGAAGGCAAAATTAAAAAGCAAGTGACGGTAATTCCCTGGTGGCCCAGTGGTTATGATTCGGTGCTTTCACTGCCGAGGGCCCGGGTTCAATCCCTGGTCTGGGAACCAAGATCCCACAGGCCGCGTGGTGCGGCCAAAAAAAAAAAGCGAGTGGCTTTCTCCAAAGGAGTCAAGGTTCTTTCTGGCTGGTTCTGATTCCACCTGATCAGCTCATGTGTGTAGCACAACCAGGGAAACCCCAATGATGGATCTTAAGGGGAGCCACCAGCCCTCCAACTCACTGCAAATCCTTGGTGTTGATGAGGAAGACAGCCAGGAGGTTGCTACTGTTTTTCCGGAGAGGACAGTCGTGAGGGTCCCGGCTCTGGAGAGTGGGCAGCAGGGAGCCTTGGTCACCCCCTCCCACTGGTCCAGCCTCACTCTGCCTTCCTCCCCATCCACCCAGGCAAGGGAGGGTCTCTCCCTGCTCCCCGCTCTGGGAAAGGACAGGGACCTTTGGATTCCAGATGCTGACAGAACATCCTCCCCTTCCACCACCCCTGCCCCTCCACACTCCCCCCCTCCCCACCTCCACCTCTGCCCCCTCCACTCACTGAATAGGAAGGAACACTGCCAGATCGAACACGGGTCAGGCTGAACCCCACCTGGCAAGAAAAAGAGATGATGTGAGGGACACCAGCAGGGACCTCCAAGCCACCTCGATCAGTGGCAATAGTAACGTAACCTCGAATTTCCTCAAAGCCTACTAAGCGTGAGATTCCGTGTTCACTCACTTCACTGACTTTTCCCATCTGCCCCCAGCCCCCCAACCCTCTTCCTTTAACTCCTAACCATCCTTGCCCCTTGACTGGGATGTCACTTCCTCAGGGAGACCTTCGCTGGTCCTCGACCTACCCACCCTGTTTCCCCCCATTTAAAATGTTGATGTAAAAAATAAATTAAATAGAATGTTCATGGCTCCCTGCCTTGGGCTCTGGAAGCCAACACACTTGGATCTACATCCAGGCTCTTGGACTCTGAGTAAGCCACATGCCTCTGAGTCTGTGTAAACACCTGTAAAATTGGGTTTACAGGTGTAATATTTTCACAGCATCCCTGAGAGGTGGCTATGACAGAACAGACTCATGGAAATAGATTTGCATGGTACCTGGTACCCGGCGGACGTTCGATAAACACTAACTTCTCATTTTGACTGCAGGAACTGGGGCTGTCTTGTTCACTGGTAGGCTCCCCTCCCCCCAGCTCAGTGCCTGGCACGTACTGCATGAGAAATTATTATTCCTAAGTTACAGATGAGGAAACAGAGGCTCAGAGAGATCAAGGGACTTGCCCAAGATCACATGGGTGAGAGGCAGAGCTAGGATGTGAATCCAGAATTGGGGCGGGGGGAGGGGGGCGGAGCTCAGAAACTTGTGCACCTCTCCCTCCTCCAGCAAACTCCTCAAAGCCCCTCACCAATGGGGCTTTCTCATCTGTCTCCTGGAGGCCCAGCCGCAGGAGGCTCAGGTCCACCTCCAGAGAGCCGTTGGTGTAGAAGCCAAAGCTGTTCAGCTGGATGTCTGCTCGCTTCTCCCCCTGCCAGAGACCAAGAAGGCAGAGGCAGCTCAGACTTCCCACCAGCCCAGCCCCAGGGCTCTAGCATGAGGTTCCCCCAAGGGCTTCGGGCCCCTCTGGGTATCTCTATATTTAGGACAGGTCCAAAGGGTGACAGGAGAGGTTGAGACGGCCAGCTCTGGAGGCCATAACCTTAATCCCAGGCAGGGACAGGGGTGGCTCCGGATCCTCTGGCCACTGTTCGGAGAGTCCAGGATTCGAAAGTCTGGGATACCTGGAAGTCTCCCTATTGGGTAAGCATCACCCGGAGAGCAGAGTTACGCATCTTGGGGTGCCTGGCCCCCACCTCCCGGAAAATGTTTAGATTCCAACTGAGCCCCCAAGATCCCAGTGAGTACCCAGAGGACCCTATTCTAGAACCCCCAGGGACTTCCCTGGGTGGCGTCAAGGGTCCCTAGCGTCCCCAAAGCAATCCCAAGAATTTAGAGGACTCAGAGTCCGCCGTCTCCGGAGATGAACCCCCCCCCCGGTGGGCGGGGCACGACTACAGCGCGGCGGGCCAGGCAACTCCAACAGGAGGACCGAGGGGGCTCCTCGGACGAGACCACTCCGGACCTGGAAGCGGGGGGCGCCGGACCGCTCCATCCGGACGAAACCACTCCAAGCCAGGGGCTTTTCCGGGCCAAAGCTGCGACCCACACCCCAGACCGCCGCGCGGCGGGACTCACCGTCAGCGTCAGCCGGTGGATGCGCCCAGAGCAACCGCCTAACAGCAGCAGCAGAAGTAGCCGCTTCCCCCACTCCGCGGGGCTCCCGCGGGCGAGCCCCCTCCTCTCGCTCACTGCCATCTCTGAAGCCAACGCCTCCCCTGACACCGCCTCTGACGCCCTTAAGCCCGCCAATCGTCGCACGGTGGGGGCCGACCCTTCAGCTTTTCTCAGCCCACTCAACCAATCAGTAATCGCCTCCTCTCGAGCCCGCACCCTGTACGACACCAAATGGACAGCCCGAGCCCCGAATGGAAGTGCTGATATCGCTCAACCCCGCCTCCAAGCTCACCAATCACTAGAAAGATTGTCCCCGGATGTACTCTGATAAACAGTCCATCCAACCAATTGTGATGGATCTGATATCCGGCCCCTAAAGGGGAATTCCTCCGTCCACTCTTAACTGACAGACCCGTTCAGAACTACATTACCCAGGACGGGGGGGGGGGGGGCAAACAGCTCAAGGGGGCGTTCAATAAACTACACTTCCCAGTATCCCTAAGGACGGACGTCCCCTTTCTTACCCCGGGGATGTGGCTCCCAGCCAAAGCTCAGGCTTTTGGTAAACACAGGCATTTGCTAAAGCCTGTCCTGTTCTCCTAATCTTCCTGATCCACCGAGAGGCCAAAACCTGGCCCCAAGCTAAATCTTGACCCTTCGATGACCCATGATCCCAGGCTGAGTCACCAGCCTTAGGTGGACCCTTCTGTCCTGGAGTGAGGCAACTGGAGGCCCATCCCCAGATCCCAGGCTGGTCTTGAGTCAGGCTGAATCCTGGCCCCAGCTACCTGCAGCTGAACCCTGACCTCCGCCGAAACTTAGACTCCCCGACCCCCTACTACCCTCAGCCTATACTGAGCCTTAATCTCTGGCTGAGCTTCCACCTGGACTGACCTCAGATTAGGACTGACCCCTGACCTCAGATTAGGACTGACCTGTGGACCTTAGTTTGAGTCCCAGGCCTTCGACTGGGTGGCTGACCCCTCTGCTAAGCCTCCTATCCCAGTCAGACTCCATCCCAACTGTGGTGCCAACCTGGGATGAATCCCAACTTCATTTAGAGGCTGAGACCCTACTCCCAGGCTGAGCCACCGAGTTCCAGACCCCAGGCTGAATTCCTGATTCGATCTGATCCTCTAACCTCCGGAGCACGTCTACTTTGTAATTTGAAGTTTTCTAACTCAGAAGCCACCAGCAGGTGGGGCCAGGTCCTCGCAGAGCCATCTGTCCCAGTGTGGGCTCCCGGAGCGATCCTCCTGGGCTCCTCGGTTTTGTGTACTGGGAGCCTGCGAGCTCAGAGCCTAACTTGTCCCCGGGGTCCCGGAGCCCCCAGCCCCAGCAGGGCGACTGTCACCTCTGTAGCCAAAGAGAAAGCACCAAAAGAGGGAGAGGATGAAGGAGGTTGCTGCTAGGATCTCTCCCCTTTCATCCCAGTGCCTCAAAGGGATTAACAACGTGTGAACAGACTTTTATGACAGGGACGACAGACTTCCAAGCCCCAGGGTTCTAGGGGCGTCGGGGGTGGAGTCGGAATCCCAGGGTCGGTGCAGACAATTAAAACTGTTGTGCCTTAATGGATGCAACTGGAAAATGGGCAGGTGCAGGCTCGAACTGGACGGGAGCCGGGGAAAGGCCTGGGCCCGGCGCTCCAAGGACAGCTCGTCCTTAGTTTCCAGGCGCAGATTTGGGGAAGGAGGCAGGATGCGGTGGGGGCGCTAATGGACCAGGCCTTGGTGGAGGCGCGTCCTGGACAGGATCGAAGTCCTCCCATCCGCCCTGTGGCCGGAGGGACCAGACCATTAGTGGGACGAACGTAGACGTCTGGAGCCGGGCCGGCCCGCAAGAGCGAGGTGACCTCAGGTTCTCCCTGCGATGGGGTGGGGGAAGAACCTCTTGGGTTGGGGTTTGTGTCTTGGCCCTTTAATGAATGGTTGAAAGGAAAAAGGAAAGGAAAAACAATCCAGGGCGGGTTAGGTGTGGGGAGGACAAGAGGGGTCCTAAGGGATTTGGAAAATGGGTGGGGGTCCTTTAAGGAGTCTGTCCAGTGGCTTCGGGCGGCAACGTTCCTTTAAGAGGGGGCGGGGCGTCTTTGGGGCCCCGCCTCCTGGGGTGTGCCTCACCTTTAGGGGGCTGCGCCGGAGCTCCGCGCGGGCGGGGGCGTGGCAGAGCCTATGGGGCGTGGCAGAGCCTGGAGTGGGCGGGGCATTAACGGGGCGGGGCCGGGCTCAGAGCCCTGGCTGAGTCTCCCGGCGGCGGGCGGTGGGGACCGGGTGCGGCGGCGGCGTTGGCATCGGCGGGAGCAGCATGGATTGGGGCACCGAACTGTGGGTGAGTCCGATCCGCCCGGCTCCAAGTTCCTACCTTCCTGGGGTCCAGACCCCCGCTTTGCCCTGCAGTGCCCTAGAGGGGTCTCTGCGCTTTCCCTTCCACCGACCACTGGAATCCCCGCTTTCCGCCCTCATTCGGAGTTTCCTAGGGCGTTTCAGGACGCCCGGGAGCGGAGGGCGACCTTGCAGGAGCGGCCTAGGGAAACTGAGGTACGGGGTTCATAGTGAGGAGGGCAAAAGAAGTCCTGGGACCAGGCCGGAGCGGCCGGGAGAGGTCACCTATTTTGAGCGCCCTGACTGGGCCGGCGGCTTATCTTACGGCCCCTGGGCCCCTGCCCGCCCTCCGCCTGTCCGACTGGGGCGGGGGAGGGGACCCTCTGGCCACTATCAACCCCACGTGGGACCTGGAAGTACAGACCGCCCTCACGTTGCCTATAATCAACAACCAGGGGCTTGGGACCCTGTAGGGGGAAGGGGGCTGCGAGGTTCGGCCTCAGCCCCCTCCCCCAGCCCGCCCTAGGCACTGGGAGGGGCCGCCACCTGACCGCCTCGAACCTGTGCCCTGGAAGTCCCAGAAATTTTCCCCTTTCCTAGCCGGGACCTCTGACCCCTCCTCTTTCTGGGGACGGTGGCACTCCTCGGTTCCTGGGTGTCCCAGGGTAACTAGATCGCCCCCCACACCAATGCTGGGATTTCTTTTGGAGGCGCAGTGGAATCAGTGAGGGAAACTGAGTCACCCTTCGGGGCACCCGGGGAAGCATGGCAACCGGGGGAACCTGGTGCCCACCCTCTGGCCATTCAGAGGCCCCCCAGGCTGCAGGCAACCCTGCGCCTCTGGCCCTGACTTACGCCGGGCCGGCCGGATTTTCTGGAATCTGGGGGGGATTAGGGGAGCCGGGGCAGGGGGAGTGGCCTTGTCCCATTCCACACCTCTCTTGGACGTCGGGAGAGGGGACCTTGTAGTCCAGCTGGGGCCCCGCCCCTGTTCCCTGGCCCTTCCCGGGAAGGGGAGGGGGTTCCCGCGGGTTTCCTGCGGGTTTCCTGCCTCCCCCCGCGCCGCTCCGGGGCGGGGCCGGGAAACCACGCCTTCTTGGAGCTTGAAGCCTGGAGGTTCCCCTGCCGCTTGGTCGGAGGCTGTGGGGTCCCAAGGTCTCGACCCCAGTCCTCCCAATCCCCCGCTAGGATCAGTTTGAGGTGCTCGAGCGGCACACGCAGTGGGGTCTGGACCTGTTGGACAGATACGTGAAGTTCGTGAAAGAGCGGACGGAGGTGGAGCAGGCTTATGCAAAGCAGCTGCGGTGAGACCCTAGGGTGGCCTCGCCCTGGGGTTAGGGGGAGCGGTTGGAGGGCTGGGGGCTCAGCCTTCCTGCCTCTCTCCGTAGGAGCCTGGTGAAAAAATATATGCCCAAAAGACCTGGCAAAGATGACCCAGAATCCAAGTAAGAATGAAGAGGGGATTGATGCAGGGCTAGATTTGGGAGGGCAGGGGGTATGGGACCCACTTCTTCTCCCTCAAGCTGGGCCACCCAAGCAGACCCCTTACTTCTCACCCCAGTTCCACCTAGAGGTATGAGCTTGGATGCAGAAACCGTATTACCTGTGTTGGAATTCTAAATCCACTACTTTCCAGCCAAACTGCTTCCGCCAGTTGACTCAAGCTCTCCGCCTCTATTTTCCTCGCCTGTTAAATGGGAGAGGCTCCAACAGTTACTAAATGAATGACTCTGGGCAAGTGACTTAAGTTTTATGCCTCTGTTTTCCTCTCCTGTGAATTGGGGATGATGGTGATGTCCTTGTAGGGGCTCATGTGAAGATTAAGATAACGTGTTTAAACAATGCCCACACCATTTCACTTTATTCCAGGTCCCCAGGTCCAGAATCCAAAAAGCTCTAGAGATCAAAAGTTCTTTTGGTCACTTGTTTGGAGGCAACCTCCGACCTGAACTGACTTGATGTTTATTACGTTCATTACGGTCTTGGTTTTTATCCCACTTAGCGTGGACATTAATATTTCTCCTTGCAAAAACATTTATAGTATTTGGTTACAGGATGCTGCCGCTGACACCCCTAGGGTGATGCAAAAAGGTGGTGTGAGCATCATATCCCCTTTCTAAAACCCCCCAAATTCTGAGAATTGTGAGTTCTTTGTCCCCCCCAAGGGTTGGGGATGCAGACCAGAATATATCATTGCTTCTGGGGTGAATGTCTTGGGGCTCACATTTTCTCATACAGAGGTGGGTCCTGGGGCATGTGGCTCCTGGGGACCCTGACCCTCAGCCCCTGTCCCCCTCCACCGCATCCCAGGTTCAGCCAGCAACAGTCATTTGTGCAGATTCTCCAAGAGGTGAATGATTTTGCGGGCCAGCGGGAGCTGGTGGCCGAGAACCTCAGTGTCCACGTCTGTCTCGAGCTGGCCAAGTACTCACAGGAGATGAAACAGGAGAGAAAGATGGTGGGTGATCCCCTCTCTGGGATTTCCCAAGGGCCCCTGAAACCAGGGTGAGCCTTATCACCCCCTCTTTCCATAGCACTTCCAAGAAGGCCGTCGGGCCCAGCAGCAGCTGGAAAGTGGCTTCAAGCAGCTAGAGAATGTGAGTTTGTGGGTGTGGAGAAGCGTGGCTCTGGCCCCGAGCAGCTGGGTGAGGGTTGCCAATCCACAGAGGTATCCTCTTTGGCCAGGACGCCACCTCTGCTGTGGGTTTCCAGCCCCGACCCCCATTTGCTGGGTGACTTCCCACCAGTCCATGAAACTTTGGTTGGTGGCTCCTTCATTCTGGTTCTGTCCCCAACACAGAGTAAGCGTAAGTTTGAGCGGGACTGCCGGGAGGCTGAGAAGGCAGCTCAGACGGCCGAGCGGCTGGACCAGGATATCAATGCCACCAAGGCTGATGTGGAGAAGGTGCCTGTGGGGTCTGAGACACACTTGGGGGTCAGGGTTGGGCAAGGCTGGAACTGGGCCATGACCCCCACCTCGATATTCCTCAGGCCAAGCAACAGGCCCACCTTCGGAGTCACATGGCAGAAGAAAGCAAAAATGAATATGCAGCCCAACTACAGCGCTTCAACCGAGACCAGGCTCACTTCTATTTTTCCCAGATGCCCCAGATATTTAATGTAAGTGCTCCACACCCCCAGCCCCACCTTGCCCCTGAAACCCCAGAGTTAACCAACTCCTACACATTTGTCAAAACCCTGGCTGTAATGCCCTAATCTCTAAATTGAGAAGGAATTAGAAACAAATAGTCAAAGTGTGCTCCGCTTTTACTCAAGCTGTTCTTTCTGCCAGATTTGTCTTTCTTTCCTTTTGCAACTCCTACTTATTCTTCCAAGCCCCAACTCTAACAACACCTCTGAAAGATCTCGAATTTCCCCTCTTCTGTTTCAGCCTTGTACTCTACTCTCTGTCCCAGCCCTGGGACTGGCAGTATTGGTGCTGGGTCTGCTTTTTCTTGAAATCCCTGGCTTCACCTCCTTTGAGAAGCCTTTCCTGACTCCCTAGGCAAGGGGAGGGGAGGTCCTCAAATTCTCCTCTGAAATCTCCCTGGCCTCCTGTTTCTTCCCTGACCACACTGAGCTGGAAGTCTCTGTGTTCGATTCTGTGTTTCCCTGCCAGACTGGGCTTGGGGCTGGGGCCAGTGTGGATCTCCATCATGCTCGTGTAGTGAATCACTCTGCCACCAGCCCTTCCATCAGCACCCCTGAGACCCCACACCCCTGTCCCTGCAGAAGCTGCAGGACATGGACGAGCGGCGGGCCACCCACCTGGGGGCTGGGTACAGGCTCCTGTCAGAGGCTGAGCTGCAGGTGGTACCCATCATCGCCAAGTGTCTGGAGGGCATGAAGGTGGCCGCGGATGCTGTGGATGCCAAGAACGTGGGTGCCTGGTCCCAGTGGACCACAGGGGCGGGGGTGGGGGGTGGGAGAGGGCAGGAGGAGAAGCCCAAAGGCTAGGCACCCAGTCTTTCCCCTGACTGCCCCTCACCATCCCCTCCCCCAGGACTCCCAGGTCCTAATCGAGCTGCACAAGTCAGGCTTTGCCCGGCCGGGCGACGTGGAATTTGAAGACTTCAGCCAGCCCATGAACCGCGTGCCCTCGGACAGCAGCCTGGGCACCCCCTCAGATGGACGGCCTGAGCTCCGAGGCCCCGGTCGCAGCCGAGCTAAGCGCTGGCCCTTCAGCAAGAAGAACAAGGTGGGGGCCGGGGCCCTTGGGGTGGAGGGGATGGGTGTGAGTGGAGACAGCAGGGGCCCCCACTGAGTCAGCCCCAGCCGCCAGAACGCCGAGTCCTGGGCAGGAATTTTTCTCTTGGCTGCTGGCCCGGGCTGGAGGGAAGGAAGGCGGCCGGGCAATTGGCCTGGGAGTCCCCTGAGGCTGGGGAGTGGGGGGCAAGGAGGGGGGCCTGTGGCGTCTGTCTGCTGCTTCTCGGGATGCTGGGAGAAGAACTGCTTTGGGTATTCAGGGCTGGGTGAGGGATTGGGATACCAGCCTTAGGGACTCCCCCCTGGGTCTCTCCAATCCTCCGGTGCATCTCTGGGCGCCCCACCCTCAGGCTGGTTTTTCTCGGGATTTTTAGCTTTCAGTGTCAGGCACATACCTGGACACCCTTGGCTTCTTACACCTTTGACAATCCCCTCGTCCCTAGTTTATACCTTTTGACTCCTGTTTTGTACTTTGGATCCCTCTTGGTGTATACTTTGATACCCTTCTTCAGTTTATACGTACCGTCCCCCAGCTTAAACCCCAGCTGTAACCCTTTTGGTATTTCATGCCTTTGACCCTTCTCTCAGTTTGCCCTTGACGTCTATGGCCCCATATTTGTCTGAGACCTTGATTCCTGCATGCTTCTCCCTCCACCTTCTAGACTGTGAGCCCAGAAAGCTGGGGAGGGGGACAAGAAACATGGGCCTCCCTGTACCCCCAGTCTCCATTCTAGAAACTGGACATAGGATGCAAGGGAGGTGGAGGGTGGGGGAGGGGTCTGGCCTTCTGGCTCACAATCTAATTAATGCCCTCCTGCCACCTCCCAGATTTTTGTGTCGCCCTCTGCATGCATTTTCTGTGTGTGTGATTGTACATCTTGAGTTGTGGTTTTCTTACTTTTTTTTTCTTTTCTTTTCTCCATTTGGTTTCTTTCCCCTTTTTCTTTATTGCATCCATTGTCCTTCCGTTCATCCGTCCTTGTTCTCTACGTCCTCCTGCCCCTCCTGACCCATGTCCTCCCTGGCCCCTGCTGGTAGCCGCGCCCTCCACCCCTCTCCCCCCTGGGGGGCCCCCTGCCCTCGGCATTACCTAATGGACCCCCGTCCCCCCGCTCCGGCCTCGACCCCTTGGCCATACTGAGTGAGATCAGTAAGTCAGTCAAACCGCGGCTAGCATCCTTCCGCAGCCTTCGAGGCAGCCGTGGGGTAAGTGAGGCCTCCGGGGGAGGAGGAGTGGGCGGCCCCAGCCTGCCCAGCGGCCGGGTGGCGGGACCCTGGGCTCGCTTCCTGCCGCCGGCTGGGCCCCCTCCTTCCATGGCCCCACCTGGACCTGCTTTGCTCTGTGCATGGCCTTGCCCCCCAAGAACCTTGGGTGGGGAGGAAGGTGGACTTGGTGTGTCTTAGTCATGTCTTAGACCCTGGAAGCTCAGACTCTGTGTTCCCGAGCTCAGCCTTCTTCCGCCTTGCAGACAGTGGTGACTGAGGATTTCAGCCACTTGCCCCCGGAGCAGCAGAGAAAGCGGCTGCAGCAGCAGCTGGAAGAACGGAACCGTGAACTACAGAAGGAGATCGACCAGAGGTAAGGTGAGGGGGTGGGCAGGTAAGGAACAAGGTGAAATAATAAATGAATTACATTGAAATGATACTCGAAGATCTCCTCCCCAACAAACTCCAGGCCCTGATGGGTTTCTAGGTGATTCCTACCACACTTAAAAGAAACGCTGACTTCCCATCTTACATAAGTCATTCCAACAAACAGAAGAAGAGTGAAAGCTGCCAGCTCATTTAGGAGGCTGGTGGAATCTCAATTCCAAAATTGGGTTAGCAAGAATTCAAGAAGATAAAATTATGGACTTATTTAATTAACTTATGATCTTAGATTGCAAAATCCTCGCCAAGCAAGTCCAATGGTGTATTAAAAAAAAAAAAAAAATCATGCGGTGGTGGTGATTGCTCAGCTACATGAATGAATTTAATGCCACTGAACCATACACTTAAAAATAGCTCAAATGGGAAATTTTATATTATGTATATTTTACTGCAGTTAAAAAAAAAAAAAGACCACAAAAAAAATCATGATCATTCGGGTGTTATCCCAGTAATGCAAAGATGGTTCAATATCAAAACATCTATCAGTTTCACTTACTTCATTAATTGGCTAAAAGAAAAAGAAGCATATGGTTATTCATTTAATAACTCAAAACACTTAACGTATTAGCGATAAAGAAACCTGCCAGATTAAAAAAAGAAAATCTTTACTCACTCTTTCCAAGCAACAAGATTCTCTTCCCAGTCCTCTTACATAATAAGAATGACGTTTGCCACTTGTGGACAGACAGCCAAATGATGTTTTGCCGTTTGCACAGAACTTCTTGTACAAAAACGGCTTTTATTGGTGTAAAGTTCCATTCGAGAACTCTGTCATTCCTGAGTTTTTATCATGGGGGGATTATGGGTGCATGCTCTGGAGTCCAGGCGGACTGGCCTTGAATTCTAGTTGTTTCCAGTTTCCTCATCTGTAATGTGCATCAGGTACTAGGACTGGAAAGAAGTTGAACCCAGGTTTGACATAGTCCAGAGGACCATGCTTGTAACCATTACATGGAGGAAGTAGGGACAGGGGACTAATGATAGTAATACTTAGCGTTTAGAGAGTGTTACTGTATTCCAGGCACCATTCTAAACCCCTTACGTGCATCATTAGAATTCCCGTTTTCCTGAGAGATTGTGAGTAGAGGTAGGACCCTGACTGTCCTGTTTAGTGCTATATTTCTAATGCCTGGGACAGGTTCCTGGTATGTAGTATGCACTCAATATATATCTGAATACATAAAGGCACTGCTCTCATCTTTGTGACAACTCCCAGGAGATGTATAGACATAGCTATACAGATCCCATTATTCTCTTTTTCAGACGAGCATACTGAGACACAGTTTCAGTAACTTAACCCAAACTCACATAACTAAGAAATGCCCACCCTGGGATTTGAACCCAAGCTATGAAGCACTGGCTGAGCTCCCTGAAGCAAAGCCCACATTTTTTGTTTGTTAAATCACATGGGATTCTTTCTCCTCCGTCTGTCTCACCCTAGGGAGGCCTTGAAGAAAATGAAGGATGTATATGAGAAGACACCCCAGATGGGGGACCCGGCCAGCTTGGAACCCCGGATCACAGAAACCCTGAACAACATCGAGCGTCTGAAATTGGAAGTACAGAAGTATGAGGTCAGGGAAGACCCTGGGGAGGGGCGGGGCCCGCAGGCCTGGCTGAGTCACTTCTTGGGGGAGGGAGGGGGACAGGGAGGTATTGGGGGGGCTGCTTCAGCTGTTTCTCATCACTGCCTTGGGTGTGCATGGGTGATCTCAGGAAACCTCCAGGCCAGAGTGGGCTGACCCCAGAGCCTGGCCATGGAGCTGACTGTGCGGTCCCCTCCTCTCAGGCTTGGCTGGCAGAAGCCGAGAGCCGGGTCCTAAGCAACCGGGGGGACACCCTGGGCCGGCACACTCGGCCTCCAGACCCCCCAGCCAGCGCCCCACCAGACAGCAGCAGCAACAGCAACAACGGATCACAGGATAAGGAGAGGTGAGCAGGGAGGTCGGTGTGGGTCTGTCCCCGGACCCCGGGGGAACCTGTCTTCACCTGCTTTGCCTTCTCCAACCAGCTCTGAAGAGCCCCCCTCCGAGGAGGGTCAGGATGCTCCCATCTACACGGAGTTTGATGAGGATTTTGAGGAGGAGCCTGCATCCCCCATAGGTCACTGTGTGGCCATCTACCATTTTGAAGGTAAGGACAGCCTGGGTGGCGCATCAGTGGCTTTGGGGGCGGTGTTTGGGGCTGGGTTCTGTTGAGATCCGCCTCCAGCAGACCTGAGCCCACCGCCGCCCCCACGACAGGGTCCAGCGAGGGCACCATCTCCATGGCCGAGGGCGAGGACCTCAGTCTCATGGAAGAAGATAAAGGCGACGGCTGGACCCGAGTCAGGCGGAAACAGGGAGGTGAGGGCTACGTGCCCACCTCCTACCTCCGTGTCACACTCAAGTGAACCCTGCCAGAGGCAGGAAGAGGGGGGCTGTTGGCTGCTGCTTCTGGGCCACGGGGGGTGCCCCAGGACCTACGCACTTTATTTCTTCCCCCGTGGCTTCAGCTGAGACCTGTGTAACCTGCTGCCCCCAGCCCCACCCCCCCACTCCTCACCCCACATGGACCCGCTGTGCCTTCTACCATCGATGTACATACTCATGTTTCGAATCTTTTCTTCCTGCCGCTCGGCTGGGGCCGTTTTGTTTTATATAAAAAAATGATGGAAAGTTCCTGTAGTCTGTGCCTTATTAGGAGATTTGGATACCGGGGTTGGATATTCAAATACCACCCTCCTTAAGGGCCACACAGGGAACGAGGAAGGGGAAGCGAACTTGGGGACACCATAGACAAACCCTGCCCCTTCTTAGGAGTTGGGTGCTTGTCTCTGACTCTAGTAGGGAGGAGGGTGCCAGACATCACCCCTTTGGTGTTCACTGCAGCTCACCAAGGAAAGGTAGCACCTGTTGAGCACCTACTGTGTGCCAGGCACTCTTCACCTATGAACTCATTCAAACGTTGAGCTTTCATCCCCACCATAACCCCTAGAAAGTACACAGCCCCACTTTTACGTTGAAGGCCAGCACAGAGAAGTCAAGTGATCTAGTAGAAGTCACACAGCTTTTTTTTTTTTTTTTTTTGCGGTACGCGGGCCTGTCACTGTTGTGGCCTCTCCCGTTGCGGAGCACAGGCTCCGGATGCGCAGGCTCAATGGCCATGGCTCACGGGCCCTGCCGCTCCGCGGCATGTGGGATCTTCCCGGACCAGGGCACGAACCCGTGTCCCCTGCATCGGCAGGCGGACTCTCAACCACTGCGCCACCAGGGAGGCCCAGTCACACAGCTTTTAAAACATATTTGAACTCAGGCCTCTTACAGATCTGCAAGTTCTCTTTAACATTAAAAGCCACACGTTCACCCTTTGTGGGATATGCGAGGGGGCATGTGGGAGAGGGCGGCCAGAGCCTCCAGACATCTGGGTCTTCTAGTGTGGGGAGGAGGCTGCCCTCCGCCAGGATCAGTGTGCCTTTTTAGGGCACAGTGTGGGTTCTTGCAAACCAGGTCCCCTCCTGTGAGGCAGGGTGCAGGTCCCCACTGCATTTGGCTGTGTGAGGAAGCTTGGGCGGCTTCCTTGGTCTCCATGGAAGCCTTGGTATCCCAGCGTGAAGATGGGGGGGGCGGTCTGTGCTCTCAATGGTCAGGCTCCAGGCGCTGCGACAGGACGGTGAGGACGCGCTGGAACTTCTCAAGACGTGTGGCCCACGGCGCCCCAGCTCCTTGGCTCCCCCAGAGCAGCCTCCTCAAGAAACCAGTGGTCAGGGCCTCTCTCAGCTCCGGGTGGGGCCGGAATCCTGGGGGCGGGGCCAGGTGGGGCTGGGGGCAGGGCCCAGGCAACTGCCTTGCCCCTCCCACACCCGCCTTGTTCCCTCGGGACTTTGACCCCGGAGGGACTCAGCCTGAGATTACCTGGACAACTGGGTAGGGTTAGCCGGGAGGGAGCTCCTGAGTCTGCAGCAGTGGGGGTGGGGTGGCTGAGGGGCTCGGTGGGTGCACCGGGGCAGTCTGTTCCTGGGGCGAGATCCTGGGGGACCCACTTTAGGGGTTGTGCCTGGAGATGGAGCCACGCCCGAGGGTGGGATTTGGGGTCCGGGCCGTCCTTCGCGACAAACTTGGGGGGGGGGAGGTCGGCCCATGTTGGAGGGACAGGGGGCCTAAGGTCACCAGTGAAGGCAGGGACGACCCAGGTGGGGGATCCTGGAGGCTGGGCTGCCCCAGGGCAGGAGAGGGGTGTGGCTCTGAGCTCAGCGGGGGCGCCGTTCTATTCTACCAGGTTGAAGGTCTGAGTCATTTTGGAGGGAGCTGGGCATTCTTGGTGGCGGATCGAGATCCTCTAGGGGCAGGGCCTTCCCTGGTGGAAGAGTGGGAGTGAGGCCCTGTGGGCGTGGCTCTGGGGGGCTGGGCCGCCCTTTGCGGGCAGAGGGCACTGTTTCCGTCTACACTGCAGGTTGCGGCGTGTGTTAGGGTGAGAACCCCGTGGGGCCGGGCCGTCCCAGTTTGGGTGGGGCTCTGGGAGGCGTGGTGGGAGGCTCTAGTTCCTGGCTCGGTGGGTTTGGGGGCACCGAGTTGGAGCATGAGGGGTGTTCCGGGACCCTCTGGCAACCCGGCGCAGAGGAGGCGCTCACCTCGCAGGCGCCGAGCCGCCGCCTCGCGGAATCTGGGCGCGTCCCGGGCCAGCAGACGCGCCCGGTGCAGGGTGCGCAGCAGCCGCTCGCAGCTCTCGTCCAGGGGCCCGGGGAGTTCCTCGCCCTCCAGCAGGCGCACCGCGGGCGCCACGTGCGGCAGCGCCACCTCCCCCGGGTCGCAGGGTCCTGTTGGGGGAAGGGTCTGGGCTGGGCTAGGGGCAGAGGGCGGGTCCTAGGGTGAAGAGGGTGCGACATACTTTGGGCCGAGGCACCCTAGGACAAAGCAATGGTTGGGGTCTGGGTCAGAAACAGAGGCTTGAGCCTGGCCCAGAGCAGGACCGGGGAGCGGCCTAGGGCAGGGGCGGAGCCTGGGACAGAGTGAGGGCGGGGCCTAGGGATTAGTTCCCGACCGAGACTCGCACAGAAGGCGGGGGTTAGGGCGAGGAGGGCGGAGCCTTGCTTAAGGGGCGGAGCCTTGCTTAAGGGGCGGAGCCTAGGACCGAAACAACGGGCGGAATGTAAGGCCAAGGTGGAGCCTAGGACAGAAGGAAGGGGCGGGGTTTGGCACGAGACCCAGAGGCCAGAGCCTAGCATAGAGCTGGATGTGAATCAGGGGCCGGGCCTAGGGCAGGGGGCGTGGCTTAGGAGAGAAGCAGGGGCGGGGACCTAAGACCCGGGCGGGGCTTAGGACCGGATTGGGATTCCGCTTAGTTACCACTCATCGAAAGATGCCACTCACCGGCGCCCTCATCCAGCGCCCGCATCAGTGGCTTCAGCTCCTGCTCGAAGGCCAGCGCAGCCTCGGTGTGGCTCCTTCGCAGCTGGCGCCACGTGCGTTCCAACCGCGACACCTGGAGGAAGAGAGCTGAGCCCGCCTCCTCTCCACTTTTTCCCATCACTTGCTCTCTGGCCTCCTCCCCATCCCCGCTTCCCACGCACCTGGGGCATGAGCAAGGCGCCCATGACCGCGGCCAGTCCGGGCAGGTCTCCCGCTGCCCCTGGCCGCAGCGCCAGGGCCAGCTCCACCAGGCCCCTCAGGGCGGCCGCGCGCTCCTCCAGCGGCCCTGCGCAGCCCAGCACTGCCAGCGCCCCCGCCAGTGCCAGCGTCTCGAGCCTGTGGAGGCGGAAGGCAAGGGTCTGGGGGCAGTGGGGAGGTTTGCAATGCGGGGGTGAGGAGGGACAGTCGGTGGCATTGCCCATGCCCCACCTCCCTAGGGGACCGTGAATGGGGAGATTTGGAGACCCTAGGGATTCCAGGTGGCTGGCTCACCTCTCCAGCAGTTCCAACCTCAAGCGATGCCCATGGGGAAGTGTGAGCAGCTCCAGACCAGAGGCGACCCCCATGGCGCCCCACTGAGCCTTGGTCACTCCCAGGAGGCCAGTCGCCTGGCGATGGGGGGCCAGGGTAAGAGTAGAGAAGTCAAGGGAGCAGTGTGAGTATACAGATGTGAGGTGGGGTTGGCCCTTGTCCTGGCTTCAGCCCCTGCCTGGGGAGGAAAAACCTCTGTAGGTGACCCACCTGACAATCCACCAATAGCAGGTGGAGAGCGGTGCTCCCAGGATGGTGCTCCAGGAACAGGCCATGGAGAGTATGCAGGACTTCGGTTTCCAGAGGCCGATTCTGGGAGCCCAGCAGGCCGAAGGGGTTGTCAGGTGGGCAGAAAGAGACCTCTGCCTGCGGTCTTGCAAAACATCTGTCCTCCTCCTCAGCCTCCCACCATGGCGCCTCTGGCTCTGGGCAGCTGTGGCCAGCAGGTGTTCCCTGGACCCTGGGCACTCGGGGCACCAGCTCACAGTACGTTGGGGGGCGTCCAGAGGCATCAGGCAGCATCAGTGAGGATGTTCGAGGTGGCTTGGTTGGTGCCTTGGCATGAAGCTGCCCATCAGAGGCCCTGAGGCTGTCAGCAATGGACCCCAGGGGAACGGGCACCTTTAGCAACACGGAGTCACTACCTGTCCGAGGCAGGGCAGATGCAGGCATAGTGGAAGCTCCTGGGTGTCATACAAGAGGGGGTGAAAGAGGTACACAGAGAAGATAGCTGGGAGGGGTCAGTGGCTTCATGGGCTACTAACCTCCTGGTTCATCCACTCATTCAGCCAATAACCAGGTATCCCAGCCTATCTTGGTGCGGCTTTGAAATTGAACAACTTCACCAACATCAATGCTACACACTTACCAATGGTTTGAAAACGAACTTTCTCTGACACGTATGTAGTTTTGCAATTTTTGAATACTACATTTCAAGTTTGAATTCTTTGTTTTTGCCCCTCTGATTGAAGATGGTAAGCCCTGACTGTATGAAATTAAAATGAAAAATGTCATTCAAAATTCACAAAGCTACATAAGCATCAAAGAAACTGAATTTATCAAAATTTCAAATGATGTCTTTTGTTAAGTTTGTGGCATATTTACTTCTGAGGTTATTGGAACTTCAAACTGCACCCAGACTTTTGGGAGACTCTGTATTTACTAAGCATTTAAGTTGACCCTGTTATAGGGGCTCAAAACCTCCCCACGGTTCCCAGCTCGCTCTGAATAAGGGCCAAAGTCCTCATATTAGTCCAAGAAGCCCTCACAGTTTGAGCCCAATCTCTCGTGACTTCCCCCTCACTCCCAGTGTTTCTGCTACACTCACCTCCTTTTGGTTCAGTGAACAGTTCAAACTCTTGTTCTGGCCCCAGGACCTTTGCAATGGCTATTCCCTCTGCCTGGGTCATTCTCATCCAATTATCCACATCGTTCCCTCCTTCATCTCCTTCAAATCTTTCTCCATGGGACCTTTCCTAACTAGTACTTAAAATTGTAATACTCATTACCATTCGCATACTCCTTACTGTGTCCTGCTTTTAATTTTTAACCCAAAGCATATGTAATTGACTCATTTTTGTTGTTCCTGGCCCTTCTTCCTCTAATAGGATGTTGGCTCCACTTGAGCAGGGATCTTTGTCTTTCTTGTTCATTGACATATCTCAGCACTTAGCAGAGTGTCTGGCACACAATGAGGGCGCATGTTGAATTGGGGGGTGGTGTGGACAGGGCAGTCAGGGTATAAGGGGGACTCCTCCTTTATGTAGGATGGTCAGGGTCAGCTGCTTTGAAGAACTCACATTAGATGAGAAGGAGTCAGCCAGGTAAAGATTAGGGAATGGGCTCTCCAATGGTGAGAACAGCAAATGCAAAGGCCCTGAGGCAGGAACAAATTTGGAAGGTTCCAGCAACTGAAAGGAAGACTATGTGGCCAGAGTGAGTACGGGATGTGAGAGGAATTATTAGAGAGGTCAGCCATGGTTAGAGAACAGAGGGCTTCTTGGAATCATCATAAACCCACATTTTTAAGCACCTACAAAGTTCCTTAGTCCTGTGTTTTTTCATTACCATGACAACATTGAGAGCATCACCATCTCTTTTTTCCAGGAGGTTAAGTCACCTGCCAAAGTTCACTTGGGTAGTGAGTGGCAGAGCAGTCTCTGAGCTATGTATTGTCCTGGAAGACCCTTACCTGAACCAGGGTGGTCTTCTGTTGGCTGCCCCATATGCTCCAAGCCTGCGGGCTGACTGTCACTCCGCTTCCTACCCCTGGGGACAGAGATGGGGGAGATGTGTTGTCCTACTCTGCGTAGAGCAGCCCCCATCAACACCCATAAAACCTTACATCCCATCATTCGGAACCAGTGGATCCCAACCAGGGTGCCTGATACCCCCAGGGGACACTTGGCAATGTCAGGAGACATTTTTGGTCGTCACAACTAGGGGGATGACGTACAGAGGATTCTACTGGCATCTAGTAGATAGAGGCCAGGGATGCTGCTGAACATCCTACAATGCACAGAACGGTCCCCCACGGCCAAGAATAATCTGGCCGCAAATGTCACTAGTGGACAGTGCCGAGGTGGAGAACCCTGGGGGGTGTTGGGCGTCGTCAGGGAGGTTGGGAGCCTGTGGTACCTGAGTGGCTCTGTCCAAGCCGGGCCGTCTGGAAGGGTGTCTTCACTAAAGCTGCGTCGAATAGGTCCTTGCCGCGTCACTGGCCTGGATGCCACAGCTCCCGTGGCCTGGGACAGTGTACGCTGGCCGGTCACATAGCTGCGAACCAGGGCAGGCAGGCTTGGGAAACGCTCATCCTCTAGCTGAAAGAGGGCTGTGGGCCGGCCTGGCCGGGGGCGCAGGGCCACACGGAACACCTCGAAGTGTAGGACTGAGCTCCGCCAACGGCAGGAGATCACAGGGTGGCCCCCACGGGACTTAGATGCACGAACTAAGAAGTCACCATCTTGCTGGAGAAGGGCCTCAGCCTTCTGGGGATGGAGGACAGGGGCAAGGGGTTTAGGCATAAGCCTGTATCAGTAGTTAATGATGACTCCCCACCCCCCTCCACCCACTCAAAAAAACCCAGAGACTGGATACCATTGTGTCAGACCATTCCTTCTTTTTTCATAGGCATACCTCTGGACTACATTTCCCAGGCTCCCTTGCAGTTAGCTGTCATGTGACAAGATCTGGCCAATGGTATGAGGGCAGGAGGGCTGTGGGGAATGTCCCGACCTGACCAATAAAATTCTCCTGTACAATCCTACAGGTTCTGTCCTGTCAGTTGATGTCCCCAAAGCCCTAGGGGATGGCGAAGACACAGGATGGAAAGGTCTTGGGTCTGACTCATTTTGGAGCTCTGCATCCCCTCAAGTTGTGACATGAACTAGCCCTTACATTTTTTTTTCTAATATTTATTTATTTAGGCTGCACCGTGTCTTAGTTGCGGCATGCGGGATCTTTAGCTGTGGTATGTGACTCTTAGTTGCAGCATGTGGACCCTTAGTTGCAGCATGCATGTGGGATCTAGTTCCTCGACCAGGGGATCAGACCTGGGTCCCCTGCATTGGGAGTGTGGAGTCTTGCCCACTGGGAGTGCAGAGTCTTCCCTGGACCACCAGGGAAGTCACACCCTTAAATGTTGATCAAGTCTGGCTGGTGACATCTTGGGAATGTTTTTTACAGCCACTAGCCAGCACTGACTTATGCAACTTCCAACCCAAGGACATGCACTGAGCTTGCTATGCAAATGTGGCTTCCAGAAAAGCCATTCACTGGGTCCTTCCCAACAGACTGCGGCCTTTAAATCAACCTTTAAAATAATGGTCAAGCAGTCTTATGCCAGCCATCGTGGCTGGTGTGAAAACAGGGGCTGAGGGCCACAACATTGCAGAGGGGAAAAGTGGAGCTGGTGATGGGGGCTGGGGACTGGACAGTATGCACAATGGGCACATGTATAGCCCTTGTTATTTGCCAGGCACTGTTTTAGTTGTAAAATGTATGAACTCACTTCATCCTTTACCAAGGTTAAGAGGTAGGTACTATTATGCCCATTTTACAGATGGGGAAACTGAGGCCCAGAGATATCGAATACCTTGCCCTAGTTCACACCCAATGTGAGTTGTAGGGATGGGACTTGAACCCAGGCTGTCTGGTGCTAAAGTGTGGTGTTTTAACCACTAAGCTACACTGCCTCTCATGATTTGATTGGATACCCCAGGTCCTGGAACTCCTGAAGGTGACCCCTAAGTTGGAGATGAGGGTGAGGAACTTTGGATTGAGAGGGAGATGGGCCCCTGGTGGCCACGGGTGGCCTGGGATCCAGAGAGAGAAAGCAGAGCCAAGGGGTGGTTTGAGGGGTCATTAGGACCTTCTTCAATCCCCAACACCATCCTCAACACCATCCCAAAGGAAGTGAAAATTTAAATATAAGAAGTGACATGCCACACCAATAAAGCTTCAAGACAGTCCCCAGCCCTTGAGCCACTTTTTCCGATAGATCTTGACCCTAAGCCCCTCATCTGGGATCCAGGAGTACCCAGTAAGTCAAAGGTCAAAGGGGTGAGACTCCCCATCAGATGGTCCTGAGGTCCTGCAGGAGGCAGCGGTACCTGGCGGGACAGTGGGCCGTGGTACCAGGGTTGGCCAGCAAAGTCCTCTCCATCCTGTGGCACCTGCATGGAGCTCTCAGGGGCAGAGGGTGCAGGGGCTGTGCTTTGTACTTCCAACAGGCCCCAGTCTTCCTCATCTGTAAAATGGGAATAGTTACTCTTGAATCCTGAGCATCCGGCTCAGCCCTTCCATGTTCCTCATGGTTCTGAAGACAGCAGCCCATATCTTATTGAACCTTAAAATGCAACTCTCTCTGTATATGCATATATAAAATATATATTGTATTTTAATATATAGTATATCTTTACATAAATTATATATAATCTATTTAAATATTTTAATGTAGACTATATAATATTTTAATATAGAATATTTATATATTTATATTTAAAATATATAAATATAATTATATATAAATATTTATATTTAAAATATATAAACATTTTTGTATAACTATTTATATATTTATACATTAAGTTAAAGATGTTACCCATAGTCCGATTATATATCTTAATTATAAATTATATCTGAATTACATTTGATATATATATATATCAGATTAAAATCTGGCTATGAGTAACTTTAATTTAGAATAGGCTGTGATTTCACGGAAAGAGTCATGCATTCACTGGGATTCTTGCAAAGGGAAAAGACCTCTGCATTGCTTTCAAACGTAATGCAGTTTTTTTATGCAGATGACATACTGCTACGTTTTGGCGAAATTTAATTAACAAATTCACTCAAACCAACATTCATGGGGCACCCACTGTGTGCCAGATGCCCCTTCTCGGCACTAGAGACCTAGCACTGAACAACACAGACCAGAATTCCTGTCCTTAGGGATGTTCTAGTAGGGAAGACTGTGATTGGAAAAATAAGTAACTAGATGAGGAAGTATAGGATAGATCCGAGAGACCTAAACAAGAAACTGAAACCAGGGATGGGGTATGAAGATTCAAGGGGTGGAGTTAAGATTTTTCCATAGGGTGGCCCGGGAAGGTCTCTGTTGGTGAACACTGGAAGGATTTTGAGGGAGCAAGCCAGGTGGTTCTTGGGGTGAAAGAAATTGTAGGCTGGGGAGAATTTAATTTACTAAAGTCCATAGCATCTCAGTCACCTATATGCATACTCAAGGATTCTTAGATTGTACAAAAATCTAACCCATAGGTGCCTTTCCAATGTAAGGCCACTTTTTTTTTTTTTTTCTGTGGTATATGGGCCTCTCACTGCTGTGGCCTCTCCCGTTGTGGAGCACAGGCTCCGGACGCGCAGGCTCAGCGGCCATGGCTCACGGGCCCAGCCGCTCCGCGGCATGTGGAATCTTCCCAGACCGGGGCATGAACCCGCGTCCCCTGCATCGGCAGGCGGACTCGCAAACACTCCGCCACCAGGGAAGCCCCATGTAATGCCATTTTTAAGGACATTAAAGGGTCATATTTTTGTAGACTTGTCAGCAAATAAGCATTTGCAGATTTTCATATTTTGGAGCAGATCCATTTCCTTATTACTGCAGTCAAATTTAGGTCTCAGATGCTTTAGGACATGTTAATCATGGCACAGGCCTCAGGCCCCGGTGTGTCTCAAGTGTCTGGTGGAAAAAACTGCCCTGGATGGGAGGGAAGCAAGCGGTTTGCTTTTTGCTTCCCCTGCCCCCAAGATCTTCTGGGCCTGGCGGGGTCTGCAGGGAAATAGCACCCGGATTCTTATGACCTGAGTCAGCTGGCTGAGGGCCTGAAAGGGTCAGGAAGTTCCCAGACTGGCCCTAGGTGGCTTAAGGGGCGGGGGAGCTGAACAGAGTGCTGTCTCCCGGTGCCACATACCTGAAAGCCAGGTGTGTCTCCTGGATGCCTGAGCACTTCCTGTTTGTCACCTGGGCCAGGCCCAGCCTTGGTCTTAAGAGTCCCCGGACTCCAGCTTCCTCTGTCTTAAGTGCCCCTTAGTGGGTGTGGTGGTGCGTCGCTGACAAGGCTCTGATTAGTTCAGGGGGAGCTCAGAGTGGGCACAGGTCAGCCACAGGCCAATTAAGTCATCCACCTGCCCTGCGTCCTTTGGAATAATTTCTGGATACCTGGGCAGAAGAGAGAGGAACAGGGCAGAGTCAGGAGAGGGAGTGGGTGAGAGGCAAGCTTGGGGAAAGGAGGAAGGGGATTATTCATGCTCTGTTGGCCACACACACGTATACACATGTGCAGGAGGGCAGCCACCTGCACAGAGACACAGGGACACAGGTGGACGCGGAGCCTCAAACTTGAGCAAACATTGACCGGTTGAATGCTTACTGTGTGCCAGGCTCTGTTCTAGACCCCGGAGAAACAGTGATGAATGAGACCAAGGCCCCTCCGGTGGGCAAGACACAAAACAAATAAGCGCAGGATGAATGAAGAAGGTAATATCTAAGGGTGAACAATGAAGGTGATAAAACAGGGAAATGTCAAGGAGGCTGGCTGGGGCAGGCCACCTTAAACAGGTAGTCAGGAGGCTCTCTCCCACCAGGTGACGTAGGAGCTGAGACCTCAGTAGAGGGGAGACAGTGATGCAAAGATGTGGAGAAAGAGCAGTTCAGGTGGGGATAGGGCAAGTGCAAAGGCCTGGAGCTTGCTTTTTACATCTTACATCATCAGGGAGACTGGTGGGGCTGCGTGCTGTGAGCCAGGAGTGAAGTGGAGAGCAGTAAGATAGGCAGAGACGATGCAGGAACTGGTGGACCTCAAATTTTCATCTCAGTGGGGTGGAAGGGGAGCTACGGGACGGGTTTGAAGTGAGGGAGGGGCACGATCTGGTCTGTGGTTTAAAAACACCGTTCAGGCAAAAGTGGAAGCAGGGAGGCTTTCCGTGTTGCACAGAAAACACGCTTGGAGGAGGACGCCCAGGTACACGGACACGCGTGATACACAGCGTCCCAGTCAGGCGACCCCTTTTACGTTCGCGGACGCACGTGGACAGACACCCAGATCCTCCCTGAGAGCTGGTGGCCCCACCTGGAAAAGAGAACTCCCTGCCCCAGTAATCTCCCGGTCCTGGATCTGCCTGGGGCCCCTCACTCACCTGGGCCGGGACCCGCGGAGCTCCCAAGAACCTGGGGCCTGGCGGAAGCCTGAGGCTCTGTGGCTCCCGACCCCTCCCTCCCCGTCCCAGCCAAGTCCAGCCTTCACCCACCGCGCCCGAGGGGAACCGAGCCCCAACACCTGGTCCCTCCCATTTAAACCCCGCCCCTCCAGGCCCCGCCCCTCCCCCAACCGTAACCTCCGGGCTCTCACCCCGCCCCCTTGTTCTCGCCCCGCCCCCTTAGAAACTTTCTTTTCGCTATCCACGCCCCCTTCAGATAAAAACCTTCTTCCCGTAGACCACGCCCCCTTGGGAACTCCGTTCCTACTAGTGGACCCCACCCCCTTAAATTTGCCCCCGCCCTTCTCGGGCTGACCACGCCCACTCATCGCCTCACTCCTCTTTTAGTTCCGCCCCTTAGAGCCAGGCCCCTAGATTCCGCTTAGGGCCTCCGGCTGGTCCTAAGCATCCCTGGCCCCTTGGGAAGGGGCAAGGCGGTGTCTCCTAGCCCCTCAGTGTTCCGGGCAGGGGCGGGGCGGTCCTTACGGGCTCTCTCGCCTGGCAGGGAGTGGTGGCGGCTGTGACGTGACCGGGTGAGCTTCCTCCAGACCACCCCCCTCGGTTTCCGGGAAGGAACCCCATTGGGTGTCGGGTTTTGTGGAGAGAGATGCGGGAAAACACGACAGCCTCTCCTAGTAACAGAACGTTGGAGCTGATCTAGACTCTGGCAGGACTGGGGGGTAAACTTTCAGGTGGTTTCCTACGTGGAGGGAAGGAGGGGAGGGGGGCTTCCATCCTGTCGCCCGGAGACAAGGGTGAGAAAGGTGGGGGAGGGAGGGATCTGGAACCAGACAGAGGACGCTCTGGCCAAGTTTATTGAGGGCGCATAATAATAACAACAGAATTGAAAGCAGTAGCTGCAGCTAACATTCATTAAGCGCTTACTGTATGCCAGGACTGTTCTCTTTGCTTGCCCAGATTCAACACATTGCATTTTTACGTAGACCTCTCAATAAGATGGGTTCTGTTTTCATCACCCCATTTTCTAGATGCAGAAACTGAGGCATGGGACAGCTCAGCCCAAGTTTGCCCAAGTTTGACACGGCTTGTGATTGGTCAAGGTGGGATTCAAGCCCGGAGCCCTGGAACGCTATCCTGTCTTCCTCTGATCTTTGCAGCCCCACCATCTCTGACCCCTACCATAATTCTAAACGGTGAAGGTTACTGTCACTTTACAGATGAGAAAATTGGCGCATAGAGAGCCACGGATGGTTGGGGAAGAAAGTTTTGGTGCCTGTAGGATCGTAAATCTGGGAATTTCCAGGCTGGGCTTCCCCATTTGCCAATGTGGAAGAGACTCCAGTCTCAGGACAGGCTGAAGGGTATCCCTTCCTTGACCCACTCCCCGCCTGGTTTTGATACAGTCAGAGGGTAGGGGGTATGTCCAGTGAAAGGAGTCTAGCGCCCCTTAGTGGTTACAATAATTAAAAAGGAAAATCCGGGGGGTGGCTCGGGTGGCGGGTGGGGTGGGTGGGTGCTTGTGAGACGGAGGGGGGAGACTACTCACAATCTAGTGGGGTGGAGGTGGGTAGAGAGACCTCGTCGAGCACATGATTTCAGGTAATGATAAGGGCTACAAAGATAGTAAATATTTGCTAAACCAATGAACGACACTATCGAAGTCCAAAAAAAGAGATGATGGTGGCCAGGGCCATGGAAATAAATGAACGGATTTGGGATAAATGTCAGAGGTAGAGCCATAGAGCTTTCAATTATTCATTCATTCTTCATTCAACAAATATTTATGGAGCATGTATATGTGCCAGGTGCTGGGGGGAGTGGTTCCAACACCAGACACAAATTTCTCAATACACAATAAAGAAATAAGTATAATAAAATAACAGGTGGGGAAGTGGGATAGGGTGTTATGGGGTGGGAAAAAAGGCTGTGATCTGAAATGGAGAGGTTTGGGAAAACTTCATGAGAAGACGATTGATCTAGAGCTAAGATTTGCAGGAAGTGAGGGAGCTGGCCGTGAAATTGCCTAAGGCAGAGGACTAGCATGTGCAAAGGCCTTGTGGCAGGATTCTAGGGCAAGCTTCTGGGGCTACCTAGTATGTTGGAAGAACACTGAGGAGGCCCGTTTGGCTGGAACAGCGCAAAGTGGGGGAGAGTGGGAGAAGTAGGGCAGGGAGGTGATGAGTGCTCATGCAGGCCCTTGTGGGCTGCAGGGTTGACTTTTATCCCAGACGAGGGGGGCTGTGGGGCATCCCGACTTGACTTAGGTGTTCATAGGTGCCCTCTGATGTGGGGAGTGCAGATTGGGGGTGGGGAGGTGAGGACAGGAGCCCGGCCATGGGGTGGAGGACACTGTGCTGGTCCAGGCTGCCAAGGTTGGGGGCTGGATGAGGGTGGAGGCGGAGGAGGGAGGGGTGAGAACAGGGTGGATCTTGAATATGTTTCCGAGGTTGTACCGCTCTTGGGTTGGACACAGAGGAAGGCGGCAGGCCTCCGCCTTGTTACCCTGAACCCACTCCCAGATGCCCCAGTGCTAGTTGGTGGGGGAAGGAGAGGCCAGGTCCTGCTGGAAAGGGGCTGGGCTGGGGCTGGGCTGCAGGTGCCCCCCCCCAACTCCCACGGCTCCCCCTCCGCCCCGTCTCAGGGCGACAGTTACAGGCAAAGAAGAGGAAGTGGTAGCTAGCTAGCGGAGGCAAGCAGGCGGGCGGCGAAGGAGGCCGCGAGGGTGCACAGGCCGGCCCGGGAAGCTAGCAGCCATGGAGCTGTGGCGCCAGTGCACCCACTGGCTGATCCAGTGCCGGGTGCTGCCGCCCAGCCACCGCGTGACCTGGGATGGGGCCCAGGTGTGCGAACTGGCTCAGGCCCTCCGGGATGGCGTCCTTCTGTGCCAGTTGCTCAACAACCTGCTGCCCCAAGCCATCAACCTGCGGGAGGTCAACCTGCGTCCCCAGATGTCCCAGGTGAGATGGCCACTGACGGACCTGCCCCAGGGTGGGTGGTGGGAGGCATCCCAGGCTGGTACCCAGGGACTTGATGCTCTGCACCTCTGGGCCAGCCGTGTAGAGCGGAGGATGCCCCCCCGCCGCGGGGTCTGGCACAGGGTACGGGTGATATGGGGGTTGTAACACTCGGGGATACAGGGGTGGCCCACCCAAGGTTAACGGGAATGGGCTCATAGGCTCACTGTTAACCCACATCTAGGCTGAGAACTGGCAAACTTGGGGTTAAAGCTCCCAAAGCCCCAGGCTGGCTCCAGTGCGGATCAAGCCCCAAAAAGGGATTCTGTGGGGGTCTTGAGGGGGGCTAGGAACCCCCTGGGTGGCCAATAGGGTGTCTGAGGTTTTCAACTCCTTTGACCCCCCCACCCCCCAAGATTCCGGCTATGGGGGAGGGGCCTCCTCCGATTCCTTCCCCCACATGTGTCTCCTCCTCCCAGGCACTGGGCCCCTTCCTTCCCCTCACATCTTCCCCTTGGCTTCCTGCCTGGGCCTGGGGCAGCATGGGGCGGGTGGGGTGCTATGGGCCTGGGGCTCTGGTCTTCCTAACTCCATCCATCCCAGGGGGCACATTGAGGCAGGACCTGGTCCAGAACCCTGAGAGTGGGTCCTGGGGTTTTGGGAACCTAGAAATAGCTGCTTTTTCTCTGTAGGGATTTCTGCCAGGGCCCCGGGGTCCAGGCGGGGGAGGATTTGACTGTGACCGCCCCCAGCTCAGGAAATCTATTCAAATCCCTATTTGAATGCGGTGGGGTGGGGGAGGTAACTGGACTGGATTCTCTTTCTGTTGTACCTTCTCTGGTTCCCTCTGGCCTCCTGAGTTCTGGGTGGAAAGTGATGGCTGGTGGTTGGGGCTGCCCTGCCTGCCCTGCGGGCCTGACACCTGCTATCCAGCCCTCAGGCCCTACCCTGGGAGGAAAAGCTTGTCTGGACGTGCTGTGGGCTAGAGGGGGACCTCTCTGGGGACGGATGGTGGGCAGGCTGGGGCATTGCCTCCTCTCTGGCCTGAGATGCCCTGTGCGGATGGGGGGAGGGGCAGTCAGTGATCAGGGAGTGGGCCTATGGGGGTCCCTGGGGGTGTTTCCTGAGGATAGGGCCACACGTGGAAGAGGCCCACCCTCCCCTAGCCCAGGCAGGCTTCCTGAAAGAATGGCGGCGGGGGAACCCTAGAGATTCCCCTGCCACCCCCAGCCACCTGCTCTGGCCACAGGCCATCCCAAATTTTCCTCCATTTCCTTGCCTCCTGGCTTCCACACAGAAGGAAGTAGCTGTCAGACCAGTCAGGCCCCAGACTTGCGAGCAGTCGAGATCCAGTGAGGCTTCAACAGCAGCTAATGGGAAAGTGGTTAGACTTAAGGATGAACTTCTATCCTTCCCTGCATCTTCCCTGTAGCTGGTTTTCTGATAAAAGGCAAGGGGTTGTGGCATTATTCTCTAGGAGGGCAGCTGCAGGGACTAATATGTCCTGATTTTCTGTGCTGGGCAACACCGAGGACCCAGGCCTGGGTCTGGCCCTCAAGGTGCTCCCAGACTGGGAGAGACAGACATCCCCCAGCCCTGTGTTGTCAGGACCAGGGCAGAGGAAGAAATCTCTGGGCTGGGGGCCCTGGAGCAAAGGCAAGACATTGCCTGGGAGAGTTGGGCTTGATGCAAGAGGGGACATTTGTGCTGGGTTTTGAAGGGTGAGTAGGAGTTTTCTAATTGCTCTGGGTTCCGGTGCCTAGCTGTGTCAGGCCCTGCACTGGGCAGGGGTGTATCCTTGATCCTCCCCATCTGGGAGCTCTGTGCCATCCTGCCCTGTGCATTTTGTCTCCCTTTGAAGCTCAGCCCTGTGCCCCATTCACAGTGGGGCCATGAGCAGGAAGCTAAAAGGTGGTCACATTAAGTTGGAGGGAGGTATCACAAGAACAGCCTCTCTAAGTTTTCAAGTCCCTGTCCATCAACAGATTTAAGCCCGGGCCATGAACTACCAGTGGGATATGGAAGGGCAGAGAGAGAAAAGGGAGGGCTCCTGATGGGGGTGGAATGGGGTGGGGGACACACAATGGCATAAAGGTGTGGAGCCTGGAATTAGGATGCTTC